TGCTGCATTCTGGCCCCAGCTGTGATCCACAGTACTTCTTATACTTAGTTGTCGTCCAGCTTTCTGTTGCCAAACTCCAGCTACAATGGCTTCCTTTCTACACCTCACACAAGGATACACCAAGCTTATTCTTTCTTGGACTTGCAATCTCATTTCTTAAATAACTGTCTTCTCCAACTCCCCCTGTAAGCAAATATCACCACCTCAGAGGACCTTCCACGAAATCTCAAGCATTTACAACCTCCACCCAGCCTCAGTTGCTATCACAGTGCTCTCTTGTGCTGTGTGACTTATCTATGAATATTTGTGACCTGTGATCAGGGCGTAAGCCTGTGATGCTGCTTGACGTGGGAATCTTTCAGTCATTGTTTGTTGATGGGCAGGTGGGAAGGTTTCTTTTCGTTGGGATGATGACCCCAGTGAAAGAGCAGGAGAGACACCCCACTGTTCCCATTCTTATTGTGTTCAACCTGTTCTAGAAATTACTATCAAGGTGCTACTTTGGGGAGAGGTTTTTTTTTTTTTTTTTGTCTTTTCTTTTTTGGTGCTGGGATCAAACCCAGGGCCTCACGCATGCTAGGCAAGCGCTGTACCACCGAGCTACATCCCAGCCCTCAAGGTGCTACTTTGAAGACATTAAGATGCAGAGTCTTGCCCCAGCTTTCTGGAGTCTTATCAGGAAATGATCGTTCAGTAGATGTGTTTCTAATCGAGTGCAGGGCTGGGCTTAATGAGCTTTCATGCTATCTACAGCTATGCCATTAGTGTGATGTGTGACCTAAAATAAACTACTTCCTCTTTACCAGGCCATGCTTTTTTCTCACCCTAAAGTCAGGGATTGGACTGGCAGGTGTCTGAGTCCCCTTCCAGCTCTTGTGTACTTGAGTGATGAATGCCAAGTCTTTCATTTCCAGGTGAGGTACACCTAGAGGCTGGACAAGCCTGGAGATACTTCCTCCTCCCAGAAACTCCACTCTGGAGATAAATTAATGCTTGGGGGAGGGATGATAAGAATAAATTTAGAACATAGAGACTTAAATATTGTCAAGGAATCTCTCTGTTAACCCCTGAGAAGAAGTAGCAAGATGCAGTCTGCTCAAAATTCTTATCTTCTCAGAAAAAGGATTTATACTGAGAGCCCCAAGCACAAAACCTACAGCCAGAGCCTTCCATCCCCAGTGATGAAAACACTAGCCCCAAAATGTTGTTTATTAGCTATTCTTTTTCTTCAATCATATTCCTCCAGTAAGATTAGATTTCATCACTATCTAGTCACACCCATCTTTCTATAAATGATAATGCTACAAAATATTAGAACTACATTTTCCAAATTAAGAATAAGCTTTAAAAGGAGGTGTTTTCATGAGCGTATTGGGAAGAATATTTGAAATTAGAACTGTCCTAAATGATCCTTTCAAAGTGGATTTCAAAGTTATGGTGCAGTCCATTGCTGTGGTTTTAGACTCCAACATATCTTTACCAAATCACCACTTTCGGTGTTCCAGTGGAATATCAAAAAGAATATCTATCCTTATCAATGAAGGCCATTGAAATACTCCTCCCTCTTCTAACACTGTGTCCGTGTGCATTTGGATTTTTCCCTCATATGCTTCGCCTCACAGCAGATTGAATTCAGAAGTAGGGGAATCGATTAGTATTCTATGAATTTAGACATTAAAGATTTGCAAAAATGTAAAAGTGCTCCTCTTCTTGCTAACTTTTTTTATAAAAATTGTTTTTTTAAAAAAAGGTATTTATATGAACATTTATTGACTATATTAAGTATATGGGTAAATTTTTTTTAATTATTCAGTTTTAACTTCTGACAGAGTGCATATAAATAGATGTAATCCACATAAAGAACATTTAAGAATATAAACAGCTCCTGACACTAAAAAGTTTGAGAACCACTGCCTGACAGTGAGGCTTACCACGTGACAAACTCTGTCTCTTTGGCTTATGCTTAGCATGGCCAGGTGTCACTTCAAATATGAGAGGACAAGTGAAGGTCCCCAGGTATTTGAGAAACCCCCACAAATGGCTGAAGCCAAAATGGTCAAGCAGAGAAAAGAAGCAGAGAAGGAAACATCAAAGACAAAATTCAAAACCAGAGCTGCTAGACTCTTTAGTCCAGGGTCTTAGGTGGTTAACATGTAACATTGGTGCTGGATCTTACATGATTAAGGACCCCAGAGATTGCTTCTGTTTCATTGTGTTTACCATGCTGAAAAACTAAGAAATTGTTAAAAATATCAATATATGGAATAATAACAATAATGACACACACATTTTTAGGCAAATGGTTTTGCTACTTGATTCACTATACTTTTGTTTGTTTTGGAGTTGTTTTACATTTTTACAGAACAACTTTCTGACTTCCTAGAGACAGCAGGATTCTGCCATCCGCTCCCACTCACCATTCACTGTATCTACACCTTTAGGACAGTTTGCTGCAGTCTCAAGGGAGTAAATGTGAACATCTCAGTATTTTTATGAAATGTGTCCTATGCACCTCTCAAAGGAAGGGTCACTAGACTACACTTGGAATTCAAGATCGGTTTCCAAATTTTCAAATTTTCTCAGTGTATGAACAGATATGCACCTCAAAGCCTACCATCACAAACTTTCGGAACTATATTAGCAAAGACAAAGTTCTAAAAGCTTCCAGAATTTAAAACACAACTGAAGAGATCACACAGACCTTGGATCAGAATGGTTTTGCACTCTGGATAGCAACATTGGAATTCTAAGTTTCCCTGAATCCTCAGAGGAAATGACTTCCAACCAAGAATTCTTTGTCCACTGAAGTTATCAGCCAGTGGAAGGGAGAGTGTTTTGAAAGAGGAAGCACCTCGGAAAACTGACCTCCTCTTACCCTTACCCAGAAACCTATGGAGGGTTGTAATCTCCCAAAGGTGGGGAATGGTATCTGAGAAGCAAGGCTTCCAACATAGGCAATGAGCCAAGACCGTCATCAGGAGGGTGTTGAGCCCACCCGGCAGCTTGGAGAGCAGCCCATGCAGGACGGAGCAGCACACAGAGGAGGAAGGAGGAAAGACATGCAACCATGGGTTATCTGATGTTTGGACACAGTGCAGTGAGATTTATACTCCTGGCAAACAGTTTGAGAACAAATTAGTGTTCTTTACTTTGAAAACAAAGTAAAAAAGAGAGAGAGAGAGAGAGAGAGAGAGAGAGAGAGAAATGTTAACTACTCTAAGGAAAACCTGGTTGTATTAGAAAGGAAACTATGACACAAAGCTGTGCTGGGAAGAATATTTCCAGTCTTCAAGAACAGGACCAGGAAGTAGTGAAGAGGTCAGGTAGAGATGAATCAATTTGGGTTGTAATACACTTGTGCATGGAAGCAATGCTAGGAATCTCTCTGTATAGCTATCCTTATCTCAACTAGTAAAAACGGTATGTCTTCTTATTATCGCTTATGTTTTCTCTTCAACAAAGTCAGAAAACAAGAGAGCGGAAGCGGCTCTACCCAGCAGTTGGTGAGGGAGTAAGAGGTGTCCCAAATAATGTATACATATGAAAGTAAATGTAAAAACAATGAAATAAAAAAATAATAATTAAAAGGGCTGGTGGAATGGCTCAAGGTGTAGGCCCTGAGTTCAAACCCTGGTATGCCATAAGAAAAAAAAACCAAACTGTCAATTCTTAGCCAGGAGTGGCAGGTGCAGGCAGGCCTGTAATCCTAGCTCTAATCCCAGCTATTCATGAGGCAGAGGCAGGAGTTAGTGGCTTGGGTAAAGTTAGTGAGACCCTACTAAAAAAAAATGTAAGTTTGAGCATTTAGTCTAGTCAGATCACAACATAGAAGTGGTTGAGACAGTGGCAGGAGGAAGGCTTGGGGAAGTTAAGAAGTAATGATAGCTAAAGCTGAAGACTAACGAAAACACACGATCCGGGCACTTAGAAATGGGGACCTGCAAATCAATGCGAGTCAACTCCCTGTATAGCTATCCTTATCTCAACTAGCAAAAGCCCTTGTTCTTTCCTATTATTGCTTATACTCTCTCTTCAACAAAATTAGAGATGAGGGCAAAATAGTTTCTACCGGGTAGAGAGGGGGTGGGGGAAGGGGGGAGAAATGACCCAAACATTGTATGCACATATGAATAAAATAAAAATTAAAAAAAAAGGAAATGGGGACCTGCTTAAGTAGAGATGGCTGGCAGCTTGACAGAGGCCTTAGGAAGCACAAAGGAGGAAACTCTCTATTATAGTTCCCATAGAGCTGCCTAACTTTTTATTAAACATGCAATATATGCATTAAAATGAACACTTAACTATTAAAATATACATTCATATGATTTATAATGCATACAATTTTGAAACACACTAACGTTTACACTGAGAATATCCTTTGATTCAGAAACTCTACTTATTAAATTTGATCCAACAGACAGAGATTGGTTAAGTGAATTATGGTTCAGCCACACAATGAAATATTATCCAGTTACTTAAAATAATGACACCACTACTAAAAGCTAATGGGAATTTATGTTTGAAGAGAGCTATTTCCTACCCTGGAGTATCTTTCCTTTAAGAAAGCACCATCTCTGTTGCTCATTTTAAGGTATAGTGTGATTCACTCTTCCATTGCTTTGGGCACCCTGTGAGATAAAGACCACATGTCATTTGCTCACTGGTGTGTTCTTAGTGTCCTGCTCTGCACCTGTACTTAGGCAGCTATTTGACGAGTGATTATGTGTGAGCATTCCCACGACTGATGACAAATGCCCAGAAAACTTAAATGGTAGGCAGGACTTATCCAGTGGGAGACTTACTGGTCAAACTCTGTTCAGATCCCTACTCTACCCTGACCTTGGACAAGTCCCTTATCTAGGCTGTGTATACAGTGACAATAGACCCTCAGTTTTATGATTCTTTGTAAATGTCATTAGAAATGTTTGAACCTTTAATATTAAATGTCCTTAATCAGAAGACTACAGTCTAATACTTCCTGGCTATTGTTCTTTTATTAGTGAACTTCTACAAGATTTGGAAAACTGTGACAATGATCCTGTGGCCATAGCAGAATGCTTTGTGTCAAAGGTAAGCAAGGTTCATTTTTCTGGGCACATGGATTACCTAGATTGTTTTTACTTTATAGTTAGAATAGCTAGTTTGTTCCATATTGGATGAAGTTAGCCACTAACCTCTGTCTGAGTTTTTGTTTTTGTTTCAGTAGCAAAGAGAAATATACACTGTGACTGGGAAGGGGAAGATGGTAACTTAGTAATTATCCTAGAACTTCTGCAGCAGTTGATAAAGTAATGCTCTCCTAGGAAAGATGTTAAGTTTGGAAAAGGAAAAATCCTGAGTAGAACCATATTAGAGAAATAAATATGGATAAGTGCTACTGTCCCTGTTACAGAACTCTATTGGAACCTAAATATTTTATTTGATGATAGATATGCTAGCCTGGTGTCTGTTGGGGAATAAAGAGAAGCAAATTTGATTTCCTGCATCTTAAAAATGCACTCTTGATTTCTCTTAAGCTTCATGGATGGTTTAGGAAAATACAAGGAATGGATTTGACTTTTAAAACTCAGGCGGCAGTGAGTCGTGCCCTGACCTTGGAAGGAGTTAGTGTTCTGCAATGTACCCGCAGTCTTTGCCTACATAACTTTGCCAACATGCTACCTGGTAGAGATAACAATCCTATCTTGTTTAGATTTCTCTTAAAAAATTCAATAGCTTTTGTTTGATAAGCCTGTAGCAGAAATTGTGGTTTCTACAATTGCATGAAGGTTTGAAATGGACAAAAGTCCTAAGCAAATTTCATGATGATGCTTTGGGACCAACCATGAATTAGCAACTCATTTAGAGTTCCTGGCTCCCCCCATCCATCCAACATAGACCAAGGATGTCATCCTAGCCTGACCTGTCCCCTGACTTGCTCTACACGGTCATTTTTAAGGCTGCAGATCCATCCGGATGGCTTTGAATCCAAACATGCTAACACTGTGGGTTTTATTGAAGTTCCTCAAAGGCAATTCATTGACTTGTACACACCTCTACAGACTTTGCATACGGTTGTGTGTGTTCACATGGAAAATGTTTGTGCACACATGCTTACACCCACAAAGTCTTTCCACAACCTGCAAAGTCTTTTCACAACCTGTCTAACTGATTCTCCTAAAGGGGAGGAATCTGAAAAAGAGAAAGAAATGGTAAAACGATAGGCCAAGAATATCCAAGAAGATATGTCAAAATAACCACAGAACATAAACAACATCCAAGCTTTCGGAAACGTTTGGCTTTTACTGGTAACTGTAATCCCAGGCTGATTAAAGATGTTCCAGCTCAGGCTTAATTATTCACATAAAAGTTTGTTTATGTGCCTCCCTGCCAACTCCCAAATCTTATTTTTCATTGTAATATTGCCAAGTTTAATTAGAAGAGCAGCTTCAGCACTTGTCTGGAGGGAGCGCTTGGTTCTGCATAAGCGGCTCCTCACTCAGCACCCTGAAATTTAGAAGGGGTTACGCTTTCTGAACCACCAGCTGCTCTGCTCCAGGAGGAGTGGAAAATTGCTTTAATTGAGAGGTCATTAGTGAAAGCAGTAAAGCCGGCAGTTGACTCCTGCTTTTATCTGAATCACTGGGGCTTACACAGTGATTCATCTTTGACCTGACTGACTCTTCTCCTTTTTTTGTGCATTTTTTTCAGTGCTGGGGATTGAACCCAGGGCCTTGCACATGCTAGGCAGGTGCCCCACCACTGACCTAAGTCCTGACCTGGCTTGCTTTTGTGGTTATGTGTAAGGTGAAGGAAATTCTTACAAGAGTAGAATACCGTTGCTTCTTACCTACTGCTCACAGGAGCTGGCCGTTCTTTTGAGGGACTGAAATAAAAGTCCCCTACTGGACAAGCCATGCCTGCTGTCATGAACACTGCTCTCAGAGCGCTGGAAAGACCTGGAAGGGCCGACTGTGTTTCCTGCCTTCACCTCTACCCTCACACTCCTTTGACTGTGAGCAGGGCTGAGCCTGGGTGGGAATGTGGAAGAGGGACACCGTGAGTGCCTTTCTCCTTTTAGAGTCCAGTTGAACAGACACCCACTCAGGTGTACATACACCAGCACACACGTGCACATATGCATGCATGCACACATCCTGCCCATGTACTGGAATTACCCTCACAAAGTCTGCTTGCTATTGGATATTCCTATCATGAGAGTAAACCCAAGTCAATGTCACCTTCTCCATATGCTACCTATAGTCAAAGCCTAGCATCCCACAAAACTTCCCAGGGATCTGAGCGTGTGAGGGAGTGGAAGACTGTGCAGCAGAAGCAGCCCTAAAATCTTATAGATTTCCTCATGGTGGCTTCCTCATCAGGTGCATTGGTCAGCCCTCACCATCTTCTATTTGCTCTTTCATAATTAAGTATCTCATTTCTAGATCCTCTTAATTATAATTTGAAAGAGTTGAATAACTAGAAGGCAGTGCCTGTTTTTTCTAATTTATAAAATAAATTCTTCCAAGTACACATAAAAAAGATTTTTACATGACATTTAAGTCTTAACAGACCTATGGGCTATTGATTTTTGTGTAATGCCAGTATTTATAAGGTCCACGGTGCTTTACAAATCTAAGATCAAACCTACACTTGATTTCCTATTGAGGATATACAGCTGATTAAAATCAAAACTCTATGGTAGAAATAGAACCATGATGTGACAAAATGCAAATGGGCCGCAGTCTTGAGGCCTCATCAGTCAACTCTACAACACAATTGAAACAACATTTCATGGAGGCCATTATTTTTAATTTGGCATTTCTGATGTTCTATAAATCCCAAAGTGTAAGGAAAGGAGCTGGGGATGTAACTCAGTGGTAGAGTACTTGCCTAGTATGTGCAGTGCTCTGGGTTCCATCCCCAGTACTGCAATCAATCAATCAATCAATCAACAGTTTGCTTGGGAAAGGCAGCCCCATATTGTTCAGTCCCAGGCTGAATCCAGCAAGAGGCAGGAAAGAACAAGAAACAAATGTGAGCAAATCTGGGTAGAGCTCCAGCCTAATGGTCATTTCCTAAAGGACCTCAGATGAGTCATTTTGCCTTTCTCATCCCTGGAGCCAGGACTGGCTTGCGGGGCCAACAGATGAACTCGGTGTGTGGAGGGGCCAGGTAGAAACCACAGCGTGGAGGTGCTCACAAATGCATTTGTGCTATGAACTGAAGGCCCAGGGCCTGTGGGTCCTACAACTTTTTTTCAGGAGAATCCAAAAATCACTATATTTACACCGTCCCAATGCTTAAAAGTTGACAAGCAATTTAGAATGTTTTTTTAACTACTATGCTTGAAAAGTTGGTACTTGGCTTATGTTGGTGAGGCCACGGGGAAACAGAGGCTCTCCCTAGTGTGGGAGAACAAAATGACACTGATCCTAGGGAGAGGAATTTGACTAGATCTAACATCTGAATTTACTGTCACCTACCACCTGCTTCTGGAAATGTATTCCAAGGTTAAATTGACAAGAATTCTACAAATATGATGCTGTTCTTGACAGTAATACTTGTTACTCCTGGGCTCAAAGGGCAGAGCACCTGCATGGCAAGTGCAAGGTCCTGAGTTCAAACCCCAGTACTAGAAAACAAACATAACTGCAAGTAATATTTGTTACTCCAAAAGATAAGGAATGGCTAACCTTTCCCTAAACCCGAAGCTGGCGGGATCATCCATGGCCTGTTCGCATAGTGGAGCCCTGTGACACAGGAAACACAAATAAGGACTAGCTCTGTACGCTGCTGGGTGGCGAGGCTCACAAAAGTGCACAGAGCTCTCTGCTTCTCAAAGTGTGGGCTGTGGACCTGCAACGTCAGTATCACTTGTTAACAATGCAAAATCTTAAATTCCCGCCCAGACCAACAGAACCAAACTCTGATGGGTGGACCCAGAAATCTGGGTTTTAACAAGCCCTCCAGGTGATTCTGATACATGCTCAAGTCTGGGAATCCCTAGGAAAGGGAGGGAAGATATGGCTTTTTTGTTTGTTTGTTTTTTGTTTTGCAGTACTGGGGCTTGAACTCAGGACCTACACCTTGAGCCACTCCACCAGCCTTTTTTTGTGAAGTGTTCTTTTTTTTTTTCTGAGATAGAGTCTTGTGGAACTATTTGCCTGAGCTGGCTTTGAACCTCAATCCTCCTGATCTCTGCCTACTGAGTAGCTAGGATTACAGGCGTGAGCCACTGGCACCTGGCTTGTCTATGTTTTTTTTTTTAAAGGATAACTTATAACATTCAAAATAGGAGAAAGGAAGGAATAGCCTAGAATGGAAAAAAATTAGGCTTCTGTGAATATATATTTCTTTGTAGAGTTGACTTTGAAACAATCTTTAATATTTTATATAATTATAAAATGAAGGCTTAAAGCAGCATCCAGATATTGAAAGTAAAATTAAATGTAAGTGTATCATGCACTTGATGACATAACTATGCAAAGGGGATTCATCAATTTGAAAATACGCTGTGGATAAAGTACAGCAAATCCTCCTTTAGCTGTTGTAAGGATGAGACACTGTTCGAGGTGATATCGCTATTCTGAAATTATTGAGCGTGCTGGGAGATGAAGTAAAGAAGCATGTACATTGGTGTCACTGACCACTGAAACTGCTCGGAGAAAGGACATACACGCCCAGGACCGATTGAGACAGTTCAAAATTCTGTAGTCCTGAATCTGAGTTACAGGTTGACTCTCCCATATCTGAAATGGTTAGGACCAGCAATTCAGATTTCAGATTTTTTTTTTCAAATTTTAGAAATTTTCATACACATAAGGCATTATCTTGGAAATGGAACCCAAGTCTAAACATGCAATTCCATGTTTCCTTCTTACTCACCTTACGCACCTAGCCTGCAGATAATTTTACATAGTGCTTTAGTGCACCTGTGTCTTGACTGACACCTAGCCCATAGAGTCAGGTGTGGAATTTTCCACTTTTAGTATCATGGTGGTTTTCAGGAAGTTTCAAAGTTTGGACATTTTGGATTTTCAGATTTGTGACTTAGAATGGATGAAGGTTGTATTTTATCCTTTAAAAATACCATATTCCTAACTCTGTCCATTGAAAAGCCTTGAAAATAAGGATTAACCCAGTGACAAGAGCATCCCTGATTCCCAGATTACAGTGTCTCCCAATCCCGTTTCCTACCCAAGGGTCCGGGCTCGGGAAGAATGTGTGTGGGGTAGGAAGTGCACAGGATGCTCCAGAAGGTCTCAAACACAGAAGCTACCAGAGACGACAACAGGTCAGGCTGGAATGCTCAGAAAGAGGCTCATACTGGCCAAAGTGGGATAATTTGAACACCAGTAAAGATAATCAACTGAAACAATTCAAACCTATTAAGTATGTATGTATTTATGAATTTGCAGTGACATTAAACAACCAAATTCATCTCCTTTGCAGTATGCTTGGGACCAGTGCATTATTGCAAATCAAGGGAAAGGATCAAGCCTTTATCCTGCCTTTCCTATACAGACCACATGCTGCAACGCAAATCAATAGTTAATGTAAGGAGTTCCTTTTTAGAAACACGCTGACTTATAAGCAAGGAAGGAATAACAGGCAGGACTGGTGGAGTGGCTCAGGTGGTAGAGTGCCTTCCTAGCAATCATGAGGCCCTGGGTTCAAAACCCCAGTATCACAAAAAGAGAAAAAAGGAACAATAGAATTAGAAAATCCCCATTTTCACCCTAACAAATTGATAGATCTAGGCATCATGAAAAGACACCCAGACTTTATGTAGATGGAAGTGCAGCACAACCTGAGGTGTATATTTTGTGAATTATGGAACCTAAATCTGAGCAAGCCTCTATTAACCCCCAGGAGTACAGTGGACAGGGAACAAAAAGCAGAGCACAGCGATGTCACCAGCACTACCGAGACCGTGGCCATGCAGGAAATCCATCTGATCTCTTCAACAACTAATTTACAAAAGGGAAAAAGACACTGGAGAAAATGTAATTCCAGTTATGTTTTGCAAGCACTAGTAATTCCTGGGCCTTAAGTTATTTGTTCTGACTGATGGTCTTATAATCAAAAGTTTAAAAGCCTAGCTTTTACACTTCACCTACACATAGATGGATCGCTTTCCCTGGCAGTGTAGGGAACCACCAAAAGGACTACTGGGTACATCTCCAATAGAAAGCTAAGTGTTTTCCTGCCTGTTCTGCCCAGTCACATAGTTCATAATTCGGTGAGGCCTTGGCACCTTCCTCATCTCTGTCACTTGTAGATACTGACAGCAATGCAAGTGGCTCTTGGCTACAGAAGTGCAAATGAATTCCATCCCACAGGCCGTTCACTTCTTTCTTCCCATTCCCATAGAAAAAGCCAGTTTATTTCTCTTGATCCTCTTGTATGTTGAATAGGGAAATTAAAGACAAACTAGGGAAACAGCAGGTAAAATACTATTCAGATGCGTTTTCTTCTTGTTGTTATACAAGACTGCATTCTTCATTTTATGACACTGTTCACTTTATATTTGTGTGGAAGGTAGGTTTCTACCTTCTTAAGAATTACCTTTGAATGGGCAGTGTAATATTTCCCAACGTCAGGTCATATGACCAGACAACTGAGACTAAGGCAGCCTTGGAAACGCAGAGGTTTCGGGGCGTGGGGATATGTCAAAGCAGAACGCAAGCACCTCTCCTTTGCTGGTCAGGCATCCAGGGCAGTTTGCTGCTATGCTAGATGTGTGCATGGGGAGGATGTCAAAGAGGCAGTTCAGCAGTCCCACAAATATCGTGAGCCAGGAGAGGGCAGTGTGGCCCTGGGACCTGTGATAAACAGACACATTCACTATAATTTGGTCAGTGCTCCCAGAGAGCTCGGTACTAGATGCTGGAGGGAGTGGAAGGGCAGAGGGGGAGCAGTGGATCAGCCCCAGAGCTCAAGGAAGACTCCCTGGAAGAGCTACAGCCTGAATTCAGCCTCAGAGCAGGTGCGTTAGCTATGGCAGCGAAAAGGGTAAGAAGGACAAGGGGGCAAGAGGCACGCGAGCATGACCTTGAGAGTGCCTTACGCAAACACCAGCGTATTTCCTACTGCTCACTTCTATCTCGCTCTGTGCTGCATGTCCACAGGAAGACCCGGAGCACCTTGGGGTGCTGGGGAGGTGGCTCAAATGCTGGAGCACCTGCCTAATAATCGTGAGATCCTCAGTTCAACCCAAGTACCACCAAAAAGAAAGAAAGAAACTTTATTTTTGTCCTCTATTTGTCTTCTGTTTTCCTGGAACAAAGCAAGTGCTCAGTAAATGCTTGTTGGACTGAAATGAGTTCAAGTGTATTTGAGTTTGAGGTGTGGACAGATGACCACCACAGGGGCTCAGGAGACAGGCCAATGTGGTTGAGATATAAATTTAAAGGTCTGAATGTTCTTTCTTTTATTATTTTTGAATGAATGTTGATGTCTGTGCTTTTTTGTCTCTAAAAGTCTCTCTTGTTTCCTTGCAGAGTGAAGAGTTCCATATTTACACCCAGTATTGCACTAACTACCCAAGGTACGTGTGACTCAGGGAGGACAGGGAGCACTTTCCATCATCAGTTCCATACTGTTTCAACCAGCAGATCCAGTGCCTGGTTCCTGGGTGTTCTGTGCCTGTCATTGTGGTGAATTGTGTGAGAAATGTGAAACTTGCTAAGAACAGACTGTGGGGGACCCAGATCTAGGACAATCCCTTTGGGCTTTGGGGCTCCCTGCAGAGCCAGAGCCAGTGCAGGGAAAAATTGTGTAAGATATTGAAAGAGACAAAAAGATGACTAGTTATCTCCAATCCAGCAGGGTAGAAAATAAGTTCTGATTTTGCTGGGAAGTTTTATGAGCTGCGCAAGTTTTACGGAGCTCAGAAAGGAAAGCTCGTGAGAAAAGGGGGCCCACCTTCTCCCCCGGGATCATTGCCTCACTTTGCTTACACGGACAGAGGTGGCAGAGGCAGTTTAGGGAATGGTCTGGATGATAACATAGTGACACCTCAGCAAGAGCCCAAGACATTGGGCCACCATTGTAGACTTTTCCTTTTCCTCCAAAAGACATTTATTGGGTACTTATTGATTCCTAAACACTGTGTAAATGCTGTAAATACAAAATGATGAACTTAACTTTCAGAGCCATACAGAAATAGTGAGGGAGTAAAGAAAGGCAGAACACCTACCCAATGCCTGGCACCTGAAAGGTTCTCAACCAGTGCAAACTCATCGCCACCCCACCCCATCCCCAGTTGTGGATGACCAGCTGAGGGCCCCATATGCAACTTGACTCCCCAAAGGTCACACGCTTGGTGAACGTCCCAGCAATGATATGAACCCAAGGCTTCTCTAACTTCAAGCCACACACTACTGAGTCTTTATAATGTCCTGAAGCGTTGTGATTCCAGGCCTTTTTATTTTTCTCCCCACCCTCCCCCCACATGATTAGCAGGCTTGAGTTATCTCAGGGACCAGCCAGAAAGAGAACTGGGGAGAGTTTACACACTCTGGAGCCAGTCTTAGCAGGATACAGCGGGTGGTGAGATCCACACAGGAGAAAAGCCAGCAGGCTGAACCCTGAACCACTGTGGTAGTACAGTGGGGCCTATGCCCCTGCCATTCAGAAGAAGCCCCAGAAAGCTGGTTTGAATAATAAAAAAAAAAACCATGAAGCCAGAGGCTCAGACTTACTGGTGACAAATACTTCCCATTGTCCTCTAAACAGTGGCCAGGATTTTGTGCCATGCAGATTTAGTTGATGGCTAGCCACGCTTTTCCCACGTTTCTCTTTAAAAAAGGAGGAGGGGGAGGAGGAGGTGGTGGTGGCAGCTGGGGATGTATTTCAGTCGTTAAGTATTTGCCTAGCATGTACAAGACCCTGGGTTTGATCCCCAGTACCACAAAAAAGTTAAAAAAAAAAAAAAGAGGAGGAGAAAGCCCGTATGCATACTTGAGTGCTGACCACCCATCTGTAGATACACCCATACTTCAGCAGGGTTCACTTTAGCAATTTTCTGTCCTATAATATTTGTTTCCACCTCAATGCTGAAGCCACCTGGAAGTTGAAAAATGCCCCAACAAAACCCCATGGTCCTTCAGCCAAAACCCAACTGACACAGCACCCTCCGAATTAAGAGGATTCACAGAACAGCCTGCAGCTTCTCCACAAACCTCTTCATCATCGAAGGGAAAAAAACATTCAAACTCTGAAAGCTTCGACAAAGTGCTGACCCAGTTACCAGCCTCAGAACCAACACAGAGGCGTGTTTGGGAGATCGTGTCTGTGTGTGTCTCATTGTAAGCATACGGCTTGAGAAATAACTTCTTAATATAAACTTCCGAAATTGCCAGTTCAGATTTTCTGCTTGGCATAGTGGTACACACCTGGGATCACAGCTCCTTGCGAGGTGGAGATTGCAAGAATCAAGTTTCAAGGCCAGCCTGGGGGGAAGAGTTAGTGAAACTCCCCATCTCAACCAACACGTTGGGCATGGTGTGTGCCTGTAATCCCAACTTCAAGGGAGGCACAGGTAGTTTTGGCTGGCTTGGCCAAGACCACAAGACTCTATCTGAAAAATAACTAAAGGGCTAGGGGAGGGGCTCAAGTGATAGAGCACCTGCCTAACAAGCATGAGGCCCTGAGTTCAAATCTCAGTACTGCCCAAAAAGATTTTCTGACTTACTAAGAGAGATCTAGGAATAATCAAATAAATGTAAGTTAATGTAAAATGAACTGAGTAATGTGTAATAGAATAACTAACGCCACATGAAGTAAGGCATGATCACTCCCAGAGAGGAGAGTCAAACTTTGCTGGAGTGGTTTTTATTTTTGATTTTAAGTCTGTCTTTAAAGAAAACTGTGCCGGCAGAGAGGCTTACAAGGTGTTCATGATGAAGGAGGCATGTCAGGCTCTTCAGATTCACAGAGAATAAGAAAGGTGCTCCCTTGTCTCTGAACACTTTGCTCTGTGACCCGAGGTTCCTCTGCCGCCCTATTTAACAGATCACAAGTGCCCGGTGTCGCAGCCCGTCTGATTTTTCTTCCCCCTGTGCATCCTGGCTGGCAATATCAGCTGGGCTGGCTCACCGTGGCCAGTCATGCCCCAGTGATTTCACTGCGAAGAGGTGCAAGTCCCTTCCTCCACTGGCCACTTCGGCTCTGTGGCTATCCTACTTGTTGTAGGGCATACCCATGTCAAACATTGCATAGCAATAAAAATGAATAACTAATAACCGTCTGCCCCTCTGCAGGTCGGTGGCAGTGCTCACTGAGTGCATGAGGAACAAGATGCTGGTCAAATTCTTCCGGGAGCGCCAGGAAGCGCTGAGGCACTCGCTGCCCCTGGGGTCCTACCTCCTGAAGCCAGTGCAACGGATCCTCAAGTACCACCTCCTTCTGCATGTGAGTCCCGGCCGCCCTTGGAGCTTTCCAGGGGAGGGGGGTTGTGTGTGTGTGGATTAAGTTTGGGGGGAAAATGCCAGAACAAGCTGTGACATATGGAAGCTTTTTCTACGCTCCTATTTTACAACCCACTGATCTGCTTTGAAGAATTAGAGAGATTTCTGTGCCAGGCCTGCAACCCCAGTGTAACAGCCAAGTCAAGTCAAAAGATTCATTTTAGTTCAAACAGTGATAGGGTTGGGGGTGCCTTGCTCTGGTCGGGGACAGTTTTATCTAAATGGAAAACAGGTTTTAGTCTTTGTTTTTTCATGTTTTATTTTATTTCCATGAATCCCTGATTCAGTAGGCAGTTGGGATGGAAGCTATCTGTCATAGGTTGGCTCTTGTATAAGAGCCAAGAGAGGACTGGAAAGGAAGAGGGCAGATAGCAGCCTGGTGAATGAGATGGAGATGGGCTTAGCTTCACTTCCCAATTGCTTCCATTTCTGGTATTTTCCATCACAACTGCAAAATTCAACAGTTACTTGTAGCTTTCAAATTCTCATTTCTTCTCCTCTAAGGAAGTTGATAAAAAGGGAAACAGTTTTCTTGAAGGTAATTTGCTTCTGTGAGTAGGATTTGCTTACTTTTGCAACAGGTGATTTTGGGTTTTTTGTTTTTGCAACAGTGGAGCAGGGTGTTTGGAGACAGGGTCTGAGGCAAATCCTTTCAGGGGTTCACATTCTCTGTGGTTCACAGGGACTCAATAAAAGTGAGCAAATGTTTGTCATTTGTTGTTTTTATACTACATTAAGAATATTTTCTTAAAGAGATTTTAATCCAGAGCTCCTCTCTGTCAACATGCCTGGTCCCTCTGATGACTCTAGATTTCTGACTTGGATGGTCATTCCAGGTTTGCTCAGTTCATACATACACTTAATATTTTAAGAATGTTTTCCATCTAACTTTACCAGAAATTTCTTCCCCTTGACTCCTTGCCTGAGGTAGCTCACTTTTGCAGGATCTTAGGTCCTATGAAGTCACATTGGAGATTTTAACTTTTAAGTTGATTCTGGTGACCTTTAGATTTAGTGGGCTAAGTTTGCTAAATGAGTATCCAAATAATTCTTAAATAAGTAATATTTATTCCAGGACAGATCTTTCCAAATTATGTTAATATGACATCCAAGGATTTATTACAGTGTTCTAGATAATAAGGGACCAATCAAAAAGAAAAGTCTAAGATCTCAGGTAAGCCTGGGAGATAATAAGTCAAGATCCTTACAAAGAGTTAGTTGACAGGAAAAACAGACTTACCCACTGAACTAGGGCTACCAATAAAGGAAAAGAAGCAACAAATGGATTAACCCCAAACTAACTTCCGGTTGCCTTTGAAGTATTCTTGCTTTATAGTTGACGTAGAGAACTGTCTCTCTCTCTCATTTGCATCTGTTCAAATTGTACAGCTCACCATGAAAAATCTCACAGGAATACTCCCTACACATTTCCAGTCTTTTTACTGATGGACAGAATTGATGGTCAAGGAAGAAATTATTAATTTTTAAAATTTTCTGTTTATCCTGAACTTGTTAATTTAGTGGCATGGTTTCACAAGGCCTTTCAGAAGCTGAGTCTGATTGGGGAAAAAAATATGTAAATTCCCCTCCAGTTTCTAGGTGGATGAAAAACTTGAATGCTCAATAAAAGTAAATGAGTATTTACAAAGTGTTGTTCTATAATAATGGACTTCATTCTCCATAGATTACACCATAAGCTTCTTATACACGAAAAAATGTCATAGAAATGGCCTGGTGATTAGTTTCTTACTGTTTTAGAGGTAATCAGCCCTTGGTATCTTCAGAGTATTTAAAAAGTAGGACCCTTGAAGATACCAAAATCTCAAGTCCTTATAGAAAACAGAGAACTTGCATATAATTTATGCCCATCCTCCCAAGCACATTAAATCATCAGTAGCTTAGTTATGACAACTGACACAGTGGGAGTTGCTCTGTGAATAGTTGTTATGCCATATTGTTCATGGAATAACAATAAGGAAAAAAGTATGTACATGATGAGCGCAGACACAATTCACATGTATCTTCAGTCTGCAGTTGGTTGACTCCATGAGTAAGGAATCCACAGATATGGAGCACTGACTACACTTGCATAGGATTACTCTTATTTTTATTTGTATAAAAATATAGCTTCAAATTAATAAGTACTTACTGGGATTAGGGGAGTAGCTCAGTAGTAGAGCACTTTTGAGCCCTTAGGTTTGATCCCTAGTATCACAAAGGGAAGAAAAAGCATTTATTGACAGCCCACTTGTTTGTTAGGCAGTGTGGAGAAGATAAAGAATCAAAAGAATAGTCTCACTGGGTGTGGTGGTGCACACCTGTAATCCCAGCAATCAGGAGGCTAAAACAGGAGGATCATGAGTGTGAGGCCAGCATGGGGTACACATGAGTCCAGGTCAACTGGTTTACATAGTCACACCCTGTCTCAGAAAACACAACAAAAGAAAAGAAAAAGAGTCTCCATCCTAACATTCTTGAAGAGTCCAGGGATGGGAGTCTTATGTGCTCTAAAGAATTAAAATAGAAGCTGGGCGCTTGGTGCACACCTGTAATCCTAGCTACTCAGGAGGCAGAGATCAGGAGGATCAAGGTTCAAAGCCAGCCAAGACAAATACCTCATAAGACCCTATCTTGAAATAAACCATCACAAAAACCAAAAAAGGGCTGGTGGAGTGGCTCAAGGTGAAGGCCCTGAGTTCAAGCCCCAGTACCACAAAAATAAATAAACTAAAGTAGAGGTTGTATCCCGCTCTCCCTGACCTGGGACTGGGTACTCCATGCTAAGATGAGTGCTAATGTCACCTCCTTTGGCCATCAGAGAATCGAGTGCTTGACCCCCTTGCCTAGAAGCTCTCAGTGCTCTGACGGGCTGTCTTAAGTGAACTTCATTTAGGCTTTAAAACATGAATGCACTTGCTGTAGAGGGGTGTGTGTGTGTGTCCCTTCTTTTTGGTGCTGAGGATCAAACCCACAGTGGTGCATTTGCTAAGCTGTGCTCTACCACTGAGCTCTGCTCCCAATCCTACAGAGTTATTTTTTAAGGTAATGTGCACTATATTTTTGGATCTGTTACACATTAAGTCCTGTGTGACACATTTTGCTTCCTCTGAGAGAAAAAGTGTGGTTTTGATCTTATAAGAGTGAGAGCTGTATCGCTGACAGCTATGTTTCACTGGCCGTAGGCTTGCTCAGAGCTCTAGCTCTGTTATCTGTTATCCTGAGGATAATATCTATTGTACCTATAAAATATCCAAGAGACTCACTGCACAGTTTATCCTCATCCTACAACTCTAATCTATCATTATTCCTAGCCCTGGTTCTAGTCCCATCTTTTGTGGCAGGCATTTCTGGTAAGTTTCCTCAAAAATAAGGAATGATGGTACTATGCAAATAAACAAGCAAAAATAAAAATTGAGGAGCGCATCATAAAGGTGTCATGAGATAAAATAGAAAATAATGAGTTGCTTTTACTTTCTAAAGGAAATAGAGAATCACCTGGACAAGGATACAGAAGGCTACGATGTGGTGCTCGATGCTATAGACACGATGCAGCGGGTGGCCTGGCACATCAACGACATGAAGCGGAAACACGAGCACGCCGTCCGCTTACAGGTGAGCCCACGGCAAGGTGCCCGGGCCTGGCAGGGATGCATATGGACTGATGTGTTATCATTCTCTCAATCAAATATCCAGGCTGCTGCACCAGTGTCACACTTCATTCATGGTCCTCGCCATGGTTCTCCCTGAAAAAAGGCCAGGACATCAGTAACAGTGATCATTGCTTAGTGTGGCTATTTAAGACAGTTTGCACACAGCCCTTTTGAAGGCTGAATTAAAATTTTGAGTCTGCCAAGGTCTTGTTTTATATGAATTACAAATTAGTAATTTTTGTTGAAAGAAACTTCCTCTAACCTACTTAGAGACTTTTTGAGCCTCTCTTCCCTCTCTCACTAGGTCAGGCAGAACTGTGAGAGAGTGTAAGTGTGGCCAAAGGGCAGAGACTCAGTGAAGGGATCGGGAGGCTGGACCAGATCCTCTGCAGTTTGTCTTGAGCTGTGCTTCTCAGGCTCATTATTTTCGTTTGCTCATCTTTAAACTAAGACAGTCAGATGAGAGGTGAGCTGAGGTCCCACCCAGCACTAACCTGGTGAGCCCTAATTCCTCAGAATCTGTTGATAAATGCTGGGCCATTTATCGAAGTTTCTAGAAGACAGTTTTCAAGTCAACCACTGTGCAGATTTTCATCCAAAGAAGAGGGTGAAAATGTCAGGGAAGGACACCTGCCCGAGAAGATCCCATACTGGTGATCTCTTGACCCCACTTTTGGAAGGTGTAGCTCCTGCTGCTGCCAATCACAGTACAGGGATAATTTAAAAATGAAAAAAAGTAATCAAGAACTAATAATTTGATTCATTTCTGAAAACGCTTGAGAGATGTCACCTATAAACAGATTTATGTCAGACCATCTGTTGCCATCCATGAGGCTCCATGATGGGTCACCAAGTCCTTGGTGCCTTGCTGTTGACCTCCTCTTTAATCTCGTGGGACATTCCCTCTCTCAGGAGATACAGAGCTTGCTCACCAACTGGAAGGGCCCAGACCTGACCAGCTATGGAGAGCTGGTGCTCGAGGGAACCTTCCGTATCCAGCGGGCCAAGAACGAGCGGACGCTCTTCCTCCTGGACAGACTGCTTCTCATCACGAAGAAGAGAGATGACACGTTCACGTACAAAGCTCACATCCTGGTAGGCCTGAACACCGGTGGTGGGCAGGGACGAGGGGGTGGCCTGTTCCCTTCTCTCCTGAGCCCGTCTCACCTCTGCTGTCTCTGCTGCAGTGTGGCAACCTCATGCTTGTGGAGGTGATACCCAAAGAGCCACTCAGTTTCAGTGTCTTCCACTACAAGAACCCCAAGCTACAGCACACAGTGCAGGTAACACAGGTCTCCTCTTCTGAATGATGGGGACACCTCTCGCCTGTCGTATCCAAGAGCTAAAGAGAGTGTGAGTGGCCTGATGTCTCACTGTCCAAACCTGCCCCCACAGGCAAAATCCCAGCAAGACAAACGACTCTGGGTTCTGCACCTGAAGAGGCTCATCCTGGAGAACCACGCTGCGAAGATTCCAGCTAAGGTAAGACAGCTAAGACAGGGAGTGAAGTTGGTGACAGTAACACAGGAAAGAAGGCAAGTCCTAGTGAGGCAGCCCGAAGGCCACAGGGCTCAGCCTCAAAACAGCATCGTGGAGGCTGATCAGTAAGGGACCACTGCACCCGAGATTTGTGTTGGAGAGATTCACACATGTGGTAGACTCAGCCAAGGTGGTGGTGGTAGTGGTGTTAATAGTGTTGCTTTTCCTTTGGGGAATCAAAGAAAAAATTCCTAAGGAAACTTCTAGAGAATCAAGAGAAAAGAGAGTTTGAGAAGTCCTCAGAATCTTCTGTGCAGAATGCTGTGGGAATGGAGGGGAACCAGACCTGGGCTTGGCCAGGAAGGAATTTACAGTGGAAGGAGCTGGTGGCGTCACCCTTGAACTATTTGCTCAATATGGGGAAATCCTAGCACTGTGAGCAGGTGTCACAGGGGACAGAGTGTCCAATTCGGTTGCGGGGGCGGGCAGAGAGGAAGGAAAATGCCTTTTACTTCATTCTGGAAGGATGAGGAATGTTCCTTTGAAGTGGAGGGAAAGGAAAAGGGAGAATAGTGTAAACAAAAAGAGGAGTTATGGGGAGCACACACTGTGCCTGGATGGGAGAGCCAAGTTCTCAGGGTATGAGAGGAGGCTGGGAAGGTGGGAAGCAGCCAGTCAACCTATGGGGGGTCTGGATGCATGGGGAGGGTGATGGTAAGAGAAAAGGGGCCATAGAGCCCAGCGACATGGGGAGCAGATACAAGACGTGTCACCCAGGCAGAGGGAACAAGATATTGCCCACTACAATTCAGCATGAATCAGGAGCTGCACCCAGAGCCCAGTGCTGGGAGTTCCCAGACCGGCTGCCAAGGAACCGGTTAGGTGGGACAGGGTTGCAGCTGGTAGGCTGGCGACAGGTGGAAATTCAGGTTCTGTAAACTAGGGATCAAGAGAGATGGTGATGGAAGCCCTAAGATCTGACAGGATGGCCCACAAAAATGTATAAAGGAAAGAAGGACCCCTGGGAATCACCCCAACTGACATGCAAGAGCAGAGGGATTGGAGACCAGCCAAAGAAAGAAGGGCCAAGGTAGTGACAAGAAAACAAGAGAAGGGCAGGGCTGACAAAGGAAGGGCCCATCTCACAAAGAGGGAAGGAGAAGCAGTCTTGCAGATGTCAAAAAAAGATCAAATAGAAAAGCAGATTTCAGATTTGACAACTAAGAAGGTGTTGCAGTGAGTTGAAGGACAAGGGGGAGGTGTGGAGCAGGCTGGATAGGGACTTCCTTCCTTCCACCAAGTTCAGAAAAGAAAAAAGGCGATAGTTTGGGGAGAGACCAAATCAAAGCAAGACTTTCTATCTCGCCCAAAAATACCATGAGGGAACGTGGGCTGCTGGGAGAAGGAAGCAGAAGACAGACCAGGATGAAGGATGTTCCTTGGAGTGAGACCTGGGCCATAAGCACATGAACAGGAGTTAGTCTTGGAAAGGGCTGGAAATGGCTTCCCTGAGTGGGGCAGAAGATAGAAGGGACAGGAAGGTGGAGGAGGCCTTGGGAAGGATGAAAGGTTGGGGTCACTCATGGGGGATGAAGTCTTCTGCTGGGCTACAGCAGAGACAGGGTTGGTGTCCTAGGGAAGATGGAGGGTCAGACTCACACTAAAGAAAACGGACTAAGTCACTAGAAATGACTCAGACTCTTCCTAAAAGGCACCAAAGACCACCTGCAGCTGCCACTGTGAATTGGTAATGATGGTGTCATTGCAGACTCTGCTCAGGAACATGAAGGCTGGTGTTGGGGACCATGGTGTATGGGGCACCTCTGGGTTGGGGATTGGAGTGGGGGTGGGGGGAGAAGAAAGGAAAGGTGCACACTCATGAGGCCAGAGCTGCAGTGACTGAGCATGACTTCCAGGCTGAGTGGAAAGGAGACCAACTGGGAATTCAAGCTGGAAAGATGGAAACACAGAATCGGAAGTTGAAGAAGTGACTGTGGAGTTCTGTCTGAGAGTTGGGGACATTCTAGTGTGATCAAGGTCTAGGGTGGCCCTGGTGACATGTGGCTGCTTTAGAGGGGAGGAAAAGGTTATTAGAGAGAAAGTGGGCAAGGTGTGGGGTCGGGAGGTGAGTGGACATCTATGTGATTGGTGGAATGGTCTGTTGGTCTGTGATGGGCTGGAGGAGGAGGTGAGCAGAAAGTGGGACCACTATTTTGAGAAATCAGGTTGGAAAACCAGGCCAGGGAGCTCTGAGAAAGGGGCGAGTGTGTCATGACTCTGTGTGTTGTGCAAAGCTCAAGGCTACTCCCAGGAGCTCCAGCAGTGACTTGGCACTCAGGAAGTGAACGTGCAGAGGTGTGTGCTTGGGCTGAAAAGGAGCTAATGCCATTGGCAGGGAGCTGGGAGAGGTGAGGGAGCTCAGGGCTGCGGCCATTGTCTTTCCTTTGTGGTTGATTGTGGGTTGCTGGCCTGGTGCCCCAGAATGCCCTTCTGAGCGGTGGCATGGTGTGTTTGATATGCCCCACCCATTGTTTTCAGGTCTCCTGGGAGAATCAAAATTGCTTAAAGAGCTTCTGGAAGACAATGACAGTGTGTTACAAAGGAGACTAGCTTAAACACCTGTCCTCTTCCTCCTGCACCAAGTGTGTGGATCCGTCATGGATTCCCTTTATGCCTTTCACCCAGGTTACCGATCCATCTAGAATCTAAAAGTTGTTTTTTTTTTTAAGGGTTGGTGGAGTGGTTAAAGTGGTAGAGCACCTGCCCAGCAAGCATAAGGCCCTGAGTTCAAATCCCAGTACTGCCAAAAAACCCATAGTTACTAAAAGTTGTTTTTTTAAAGCAACAATTTATTGGGCACATACCACACTGTGCTATGTCCTTTTATTCTTATTTTACCCTCTACAAGCACTTTTAGGAGTCAGGCAGGTCTTGTTCTTCCAGTTTTAGAGAAATGAAAACAGAGACAAGTAAACTGGCTGAGTTTTACAACTACAACATAACCAAATCCAGTTTCAAACCCAGGTCTTTCTGGTTTCAAAGAGCTTCTTAACAACATTTTTCCCACTTGTGATAAAAATGTTACAATAATTTCCTGTATTACTTAAACAGGATTATTCAATTGACTGTTTAATCCTGTCAAGACTGTCTTTTAAATTGTTTTCTTAAATCTTTTTAAATGTATTTATTTCTATGAAATCAAAGCAATGCATAGTGGGGCACTTTGAACCTCCAAAGTGTGGCACTGGTAAGGACAGCAACACAGCTGCTAGAAATTGAGGAGTTCCTCTGCCTCCCATTTAATCCCACGATGGGCCTTGGCTGACACCTGTTGGAAAGCGTGGGAACAGCACTTCTTTGAAATTACCTGACGAGATGGGGGGCCGGGACTTTGCTCTAGATTACTTTGTCTTGGAAGTGGCCTGTGTCCCAGCGCATATAAAGTGAACCCTTTCCAAGTTAATTTAGAATAAAGGAAAAGGGAAGCACTTTTGCGTGTCATATACTAGCATGGTTCTAGAAATGCACTTGCCAGAAATTGAGCCATCATTTGCATTTGAAATTAACCCCAACTAATACTCTGCAGTTCCAAAACAAATGTACAGTGGAAAGAGCAGCAGAGCAAAACCTCAGCATTTGCTTCATCCAAACTAAGGTGACTATTGAAGCCTCCTGGATTTTTTTTTTTTTAATAAATATGATTGTCACTCAGCCCAAATATTTTTCCTGTGATGTCACAGATTGCAGCAAAGTAGGAGTAAAAGAAAAAATTTTTTTTGACATGCTGGGAATTGAAGTCAGGACCTCATACTTTTGCTTTTAGGGTTTTTTATTGTTTGTTGGGACTGGGTTTTGAACTCAGGGCTTCACACTTGCAAAGCAGGCACTTTACTGCTTGAGCCACACCTCCAGCCCATTTTGGTTATTCTGGATATACGGTCTCTCAAACTATTTGCTCAAGCTGGCCTCGAATCACGATCCTCCCGATCTCAACCTCCCAAGTAGCTAGGATTAGAGGGGACCCAACTGTTTGAGTCCCCTGAACTATGTGTTAAAGCATAAAAGAAACACTGAGGGGGGGGGGTTAGAGCTTTTAAAACTATTTATTCAGGTGGGATAAGATCAGTTTTAGAGCTGGTAGTTTAAAGAAGAAAAAATAAAACTTGTAATTACAGCTACACTTTCTCTTTCAGGCCAAGCAAGCAATACTTGAAATGGACGCCATTCGTAAGTTTTGTTTCCTTAACATGGTTTGACATGTCAAGGTCAACCCATACCCAAAGTTTACAAGATGTCATTTGTAAGAAAGCAGCAGCTGAACACTCAGGTGTAAAGAGATGCAGATATTAACAACCCCCGTCCTGACATGGCGACTGTTTCTACACTGATCCTCCTGGTTCATCTGGGAGTCCCTGGTGACTCGCCATGTGTCTGGTTTCTGCATCAACCATCAGTGTCAGGTGCACCTCGGGTCAGCTTTGCCCTTCGCCTCCTCTACCAAAACCAAAGCCCCACCAACGAGGGTTCCCCTTCTCCCCTCCCCCGAAACATCCCTGTTGATGATCTGAAAGTCGGTCACTTGCTGGTGATGCAGCAAGAATTCTAACAGTCATGATCGTGACCGCCCCACAGAGTGATCGGCAGAGGATGAGGACAAGGCCTCTCGCTGCTCCTCATCCTGTGCTCGGCTTCTTTACAGACCATCCCGGCTTCTGCTACAGTCCTGACGGGGAGACCAAAGCATCCTGTGGCCCTAAAGAGGGTTCAGTGCCGTATCGGCTGAGAAGAAAATCTGGTGAGTAAGATGTTGTCACCAAAACGTAAAGCTCAATAGAGCCTGGAGGCCGGGCGCTGGTGCTTACGCCTGTAATCCCAGCTACTCAGGAGGCAGAGATCAGCAGGATCATGGTTTGGGCCAGTTGGTGAAAAAAGCAAGACCCCATCTTTACAAATAAGCTGGGTGTGGTAATCATATCCGTAATCCAAACCACACAGGAAGATCACGTTCTGAGGTCAATCTGAGCAAAAAGCAAAAGATCCTATCAAAAAATAACTAAAGCAGAAATGGTTGGGGATGTGGCTTGAGTGATAGAGTTCAAACCCTAGTACAACTAAAAATAAAAAAAAACCTACTAATTTATTAACTAAAAAAAATTTTGAGGTAGTTTTGCAAATGATACTGGTTTTATTTTTCTCCCAGAACCTTCTTCAAGATCACATAAAGTTTTGAAGACTAGTGGTAAGTCACAAAACATATTTGCATTTTTCATTCTTGTTCAAGTCAAACCATATGCAAAAAAATAAATAGCAGATGAATTATAGATTGATGAGTTTGGTGAAAATTTTTTGCAGTGTGTCTGATAGGCTTAAAAAAGACTAATGTCCTTAACATATAAAGAAATTCCACACCACAAAAGAAACAAAAGACCCTATAATACACAAAAGAAACACAAACTGCCAATAAAATTTTTGAATGGAAAAAGTATTCATTTGAATGAGATTAATGAGCCAGGCACAGTGGCTCACATCTGTAATCCCAGCTATTCAGGAGGCAGAAATGGGGAGAATCATGATCCAAGGCCAGCCCAAGCAAAAAGTTAGTGAGACCCTCATCTCAACCAATAAGCCGAGCTTGGTGGTACATGCCTGTCATCTCAACTATCAGTAGGAGAATTATGGCCTGAGGCCAAACCCAGGCAAAAATTTGAGACTTTATCCAAAAACGAAGTAAGCAGAAAGCTTTGGGGGGGCGGGGAGGGGGCTTGAGTAGTAAAGTACTTGCCCAGCAAATGCACACCCTGAGTTCAAAGTCTAGTACCACAAAAATCAAATAATAAATAAGATAAATGGGGAGGGAGCTATGAACGAGAAGAAAAAATGCAGAAAGTAGACACTGCAGAGCTCCTGGCAGGATAGAAAATTTGGGCAACCTTTCAGAAGCAAAATTTAATGATTCTCATTTGGTTTAAAGGGGTCATTTGTCCTCGACCCAATAATTTCACCTTTAGGCCAATATAAAAGTCACCCGTCTGTGGATACATCTATATATGTTTGAGCTCTTTGCAGAATTTGTAATTGAGTACCACAGAAAGTGCCCATGTAGTGGAAACGGCTTAAATAAGTTATGGTATATCTATACGCACAAATGTAAAATGGAATATTTTACTGCTGTTAAAAAGAAAGAAGTAGGTCTCTGTTGACAGCAGTGTCCATGTAGTTAGCAGAAAATGCTGTGTTGCATTTTGCATCTTTGTTTAAAAAGCAGCAGCACTGGCTGTGTTGTGGTGGGCTGGGGACAGTGTGTGTGCAATCGGGAAAGATAGACATCAGACTGCTCGCTGTGGTCACATCAGGGGGAAGAATCCGTGAGAAGAGAAGCTCTTCACTTGCTTCCATAATCAAACAACTTTTAAATATGTGCCCAGTGCTGGTGGCGCACACCTATAATCCTAGCTACTCAGGAGGCAGAGATCAGGAGGATCACAGTTCAAAGCCAGCCTGGGCAAAGAGTTCATGAGACCCTATCTCAAAAAAAAAAAAAAAAAAAACCATCACAGAAAAAGGCTGGTGGAGTGGCTTAAGATGTAGGCCCTGAGTTCAAACCCCAGTACCACCAAAAAATAAAGAAAAATAAAGATGAGACACACACAATCGGGGTGCCTCGAATAGTGTCTATAAGGTTGTGTAAATGTCCTCACAGTTCTTAGCCTCTTCTTCAAAGAGGCTGCTGAGAAACCTTTCTGTTGAAATCAGTAAAATGTCTGCAAATCTGGAAACCTAGGTTCATGTGATTTTCATGGTTCAGGCACAGCACGTGTTAGGCAGCTTCTGGAACTTTTTAACAGAAAGACAGAAGACACTTGAGACTCAGCTCCCGTATGCCAGATAATGGAGTAATTGGAGACATCAGAAAATTAGGTGCAAGGGGCCAAGGAGTGTCTTGAACTTGGCTGCTAGCACAAAGTGTACAAGTCCTATTAAAATATTAGCACTTGCCTGTGTTCAAGATGCTTCTTAATTCTCAAGCTTGAAAAACCCTTTTATTTTTCAGGGACAGTGCAAGACATCCAGCAGGTAAGCGCCCCGCACACGTCTCACCTTTCATCTTTGTACCCTTCCAGTTGCTCTCATCCCCAGCCTGTATGTCAGGTGTCAGTAGTTACTTCGCATTTTGGCAATTTCGTACTTATTTTACATTTTTAACTATTTACATTTGATTTAAGGGAGGGTTCATCCTTATCAACTTCCCCCTTGCCTCCCGCCCTTGGTCTCTTTGAACCAAGGCAACTGTCTGTCCATCTGTTGGCCCCACATATCACCCAAGCAAGTAATCCCTGCAGGAAGTAGCGTGGTCCGTCCCACTTTGCAATCAGTGTGCCTCTGTGGAAGGCCAAAGTCCTTGTCTCCTGAGTACAGTACAGTCCCTTCTCAAACATTAGTCTCAGTCATGAGGACAAAGAGCTCCTTCTAAAATCGTGGTCCTAAGCCAGGCACCGTGGCACATGCCTGGCATCCCAGCTACTCGGGAGGCTGTGGCAAGAGAATCCCTTGAGTCCTTTCTGCCTCCTTTTCAAAAATCTGAAGTGCTTTTCAACTCTGTTAAAATCACTCACAGTGACCATTTTCTTTAAGTCTTCGGTCAGGGGTAACGTGTGAGTACAGGAGAGATGGCTAAGTCGGTGACACTGCAAGTCTCAGATATTGTGTCATCCTCAGGTTCCCAGAGAGGAGTGCTCATCCCAGCTAGCTTCCGCAGGGCCTTCTCCTGCCCAGAGGGGTAGCCAGCCAAGCGGTTCTGCCATCATCAGCGTGCTTCGCCAGGGCGGTGCCATCAGGAACATCTGGACAGATCACCAGATTAGGCAGGCCTTGTTTCCTAGCCGCCGGCCCCCCCAGGAGAATGAGGATGACGAAGATGACTACCAGATGTTCGTGCCATCCTTTTCCTCCTCAGATCTGAGCCCTGCCGGGCTGTGTGAAGAGAGCACCTCAAGTCGCCCTTGCAGCTGGCATCTGGGAGAGATTGAGTGCACAGGGACCTCCCGCTCTGGTCACAGGACTGTCCGGCGGGCCAGCAGTGCTGGTGAGAGCAACATGTGTCCTCCTGAAACAAGAATTAGGGACAATGATGGCTCCCAATACAGCCCCCGGAGAGAGCTGCAGAATGGTCCTCAAATGGAAGGACAGGAAGGACTGACTCCCTTTGGGTCATCAATAGAACTGACGATCGATGACATAGACCACGTCTATGATAACATAAGTTATGAGGATGTCAGGCTAATGGTTGCTAAGCGTGAAGAGGCTGGATCCACTCCCCCCAAATCAGCCAGGGACTCTGTTCGCCCTAAGAGCACCCCAGAGTTAGCCTTCTCAAAGAGGCAAGCTGGCCACAGTACAAATTCTCTACGCCCCCGAAGAGATGGAGCCCTCGTTGGCCAAGAGTTACCCAACCAAAGCACAGGTGAGCTCCAGGCCGAGGAGAACATCTATGACACCATTGGGCTCCCTGACCCACCATCCCTGGGGTTCAAGTGCAACAGCCTAAAGCAGCCCAAGAGGGGCACCTTCCTGGGCCTGGAAACTGACTTCACATGCTGTGACAGCCTCAGGCCCTTTGTCTCCCAGGACAGCCTCCAGTTCAGTGAGGACGACACCCCTTGCCATCAGGGGTCCTCTGATAACGACTACTTGAGTTTGCTATACGACTCTCCAAGCTGTAACTTGTCCATAGCGGATAAGGCTCTGTCTGATAAACTGTCTGAAGAGGTAGATGAAATTTGGAATGATCTAGAAAATTATATCAAGAAAAACGAAGACAAAGCTCGAGATCGGCTTCTCGCAGCATTTCCTGTTAGCAAAGATGACGTGCAAGACAGAATGCATGCTGACAATGCCCCTGAGCCAAGCAGAAATGCAGGGCATTCCACGTCTACGCTGTCCCTTCCTGAGAGCCAGGCTTTCCTCACGCCTATGAAAAGCAGGGTGGTCAGAGCCAGTCAAGCCAACGTGTCTCTGGAGGAAGACCTGATTTCTGCAGAAGGCTCCTTCGTGAGTCTGAACCGACTCTCTCTGGCCAGCGAGTTGCCTCCCTTGGACAGTCCCTATGACCTGACCAGCAGCAGTCTGCCCCAAACAGACCCAGACAACCCTGACCCAGGGATGGATGTCACAGATAGAACAAGGAGCAGAGTCTTCATGATGGCGAGGCAATACAGCCAAAAGATCAAGAAGGCAAATCAACTTCTAAAAGTAAGAAGTCCAGAGTTGGAGCAGCCGCTGGCCACTCAGCACCACAAACCTGTGCACAAAGACCTGGCAGCCATCCTGGAAGAGAAGAAGCAAGGAGGGCCTGCCATTGGTACGTCCATCTCCCCCACTTTCCTTCCTCTCTAAAAGTCAGGCAGCAGGAACTGTACTGAAAGTGGACACACCTGTGAGAACAGTGTCATTCAAGCATCCCTACCTCCCAGGCCACTAGGCCACTGTTACCCACCTCCATTTAGTTAGGCAAGTGGTAGTGTGATTTGGCCTCATGGGTTTTGTAATAAATGTAATATTGTCACAAGAGATTCCATATTTTTTAGAGAACATTTTTCTCTAAGGAAAGCTAAAGAGTGGGGGAAAAGCAATAGGTTTTAACTTGTAATACCTAGACTTTTCCCTGTGCGTCACCATTGTGTTGGGGGAGAAAGGACTCCTGAAAACTTTTAAGGCAAGGAAGTATACAGAATGCAGGGGGGCGGGCTCCTTGCCACAGAGCCCCCACAAAAGTACCTACTTCTAACAAAGGCAAAAAGACTCGTTTTTGCACTTTTCTTAGCTGTCCACACTACAACTCAGTTCTGTCATATTTGAACTACCACTTGTTTTTTTTAAATACCTCTGCAATGCATTTGATACCATCTCATCTGGTATTCTCACTTATGTCCCCCCAAAAGCTGAATTCTTCAGTCAGAGCTCCTTTGCAGGGCCTAACTAGTATCTCAGGTGTGGTGTTGGTAAGATCCAGGGGTATTGGAGTCAGAGGCCCATGGCTTGACTTTTTTGAAGGACAGAATGTAACACTGATCTCAGGGGAAAAGCTTAGGGGTGCAGATTCCCAGGCCTAACCCCAGAAATCTCTATGTCTGGAACTGAAAATCTTCACAGATGAGAACTGTCACCTCTTGGGGTCTTCTTACATGACAGTCATGTGCTTCTGTCACATCTAAGCCCATCACATGTTAAGAAGTCATACCTTGGATTTTTTGACAAAGGATTACCTCAATATGAAAAGGTAGAAGTCAGTTTTCCAATTAAAAGTACAAACCGAGCCAGGCATGGTGGCACATGTCTGTGATCCTAGCAGTCAGGAGCCTTAGTTTAGGAGGATTGCAAATGCAAGCCCAGCCTGGGATATATAGTGAGACCCTGTCTCAAAAAAAAAGAGTAAAAACCACATGGCCCGGTATCAACAGGGCCAGCACATTTGGACATGTCGATGTAGTTAACTTACACACATGGGTGCCACTAACCATCTTTCTTTGAAATTGATTTATCTCCATGGAAATCAGAGTAAGAAGCAGATATCTAAATCCTAAATGAAATCACAAGTTCCATGATAAGAATTGTAGGGGATTTTTAAGTTTGGGAGTATTTAAGGATTGTCAAAGCTTTAATCTTCAGTAAGATTTCCTACCAGATAGGGAAGTAGAGGTTGGAATTCATGCTTGAAGGGCCTTACAGACTCTCTAAGTTCTCTTTTCGTAAGATAAGGGCTAAGTGATTTTTGTATGAATGTGAGACAGACTGAATGGAATTTATTTTTCTCCTTGCAATAATGTACTAAAAGTAATTTGTGTCCCTTTTGCAATGTTAGTGTTATCAAGCTGCTTGCTGTTCTACTTAGAAGAAGTGATGTGAGCTGCAGGATGGTTGTTGAGGGAGGCACAGATGGGTTTAAACTGCATAGATTGGTAATTGCAACCACTGGCTGAGTATGGAGCTTCTCAGAACCGGAGACAATGTAATACTAAGGTTTCTGATGATGGCAGATCTTGCCAGCGGGCCATCATTTCAACAGAAGTAGTCTAATATCCAAGGCTAGGTGTTTGGGATCTGTGCCATCCATTAAGATACAAAACCACTCTTCACTGAAGCAAGCCCTTCAGTACTAAGCAACTGGGACTTACAACCACCTGCAAAGGTCTTTTTACTCACTTTTTAAACAATAAGTGCTTTCTCATTGGGGTTTTCTTTTGCTTCTTTTCACTTTTGGTTTGTTCTCCTTCTTGAGATCCCATGGGATCTTTTCTCGGCTTTGCATCTGGGTCCTTTCTTGACATTGTGGGCTACTACTGACATCCTCTCCAACAAAGAGGAGATCTCCCCCAAGGCATCATCTGAGAGTATAGTCTTCCCCTGCCAGGTGGCAGGAGCATGTCTGTAGGGTCTGCCGTCTCTCGGACCTGGCAAATTAGATCCACACCTCCTCCATCTGGGTGATTGAGACCACTTCCTGTGCCCACGAGACTTTCAATCAGTTGACATGATGACTCCTTTTCTCTTTCTTGTTTATCTGGGCACAGGACGTCATAATCGAATGGACCGATTCTCCAGACTTCTGCGTGTGGGCCTTGCCTCTTTGCCTGGAGCTTGCTCTCGGTGTTGTGCGGAAGGAGGAGCGTCCTATTCATCTGCTGACACTCTCCAGCACCTTTATTGAACTCTCTCCCCAGGGTCTACAGGCCCCGGGTCAGATTCCCGCCTATAGATCACCCAACCAGGTCTAGTCTTAGAGCCTGTAGTAGCATGTTTGCCATCTTATTCAGTCCACCCGCCCTCCTGACAGTCTTTGAGACCAAGGAGGCCTTTGGGTTCCTGTGTTTTGGGTGCTATTTCACAAGGTAGAAACCTCCATTCAAAGTTGAGAAATGTTCTTCCTTGTGTAAAGTAGGGAAGGCACAATTTTATTCATTTGTCTACATCACAGACAACATCAGAAACATAGATTTTTTTAATCCCCTGTCTTGAAAACAGCCTGTTGGATATTTTCCTTGTAAGGATTACTGTCAATTGTATCTGGAATCATAAGAGCTCCAACTTTTCAACCTTCAGAACAGGGAATGGACCAGAGCCAGCCCTGAGATTGTCACATAAATTTATAATAAACCTGGTCTATACAGACTGTTGATACAGAACTGAGGAAATGGGGGACCTCGACCCAGCTTTCTAGGCTAGAGAAGCTGACTTAGGCTGACTGTTTCCTGTGCATCTGGCTAACAGGATCTATTTAATCACAGTTGGTGCTCTGTAAGCCTCGCTTATTCACATCAGGATCATGCAAGTTACAGACTCTCTTAGGTGGTCAAGATAAGACCAAAAAAAAAAGCACAATATATTGTTTCCTAGTAAGATACTTTTTATTCAACATTTATAAGTGGTCAACTCTTGGTTACCAAAAGATGAATGTGCCCATTCTGAGTTATCAATAGGAAGTATTTTAATCCAAGGCGGTCTTCCTGCTTCCCCTTTCCTGTTGTGTCCTGATTTCTAAACTATCTTTCCACTCAGTGACATGGTCTCAGGAAAACCCCATCCGTTTTTAACACTATACTTTAAACAAAAGACAGGAATGAAAAATTATTTTGGTAATGCTGTATTGTTGATACCAATTTCTGTCCAGAACTATGGTTGGTGCTTCGTAAGGAGTTGAACAAAATACACACCACTGTTCACCAACATCAAAAACTCACATAGACTAGCTACAGTAATTAATATATGAAAAACAAGTAGGGACACAATTGTATGTGTGTGTTGTATGTACACATATGAGACTTTAAAAAAATCAGAAAAGGATTCAAGGTAGAATAGGGCTTTTAGAGAATCTTGAGATATGAGTAAGATTTGATAAGCAAAGGAAGAGCAGAGCAAGAGAAAGAAGAAAAAAGCATGAGAAGTACTAGGGATATTTTTTAAATATTAGCTAGGCCAAAGTTAAAGGCTGATTATTCTTACAAGACTGTATGGTTAAATTTTGATCCTGGAATACTTTGGCTGAATTTTTACTTAGTTCTGTTTTCCCCAAAATTGTCATCTTTTTGGGAACCTTGAGAAAGTTCAGAGCTATCCTAACTCAGGTGTGGTATCAGGTTCAGGGCAGACAGAACTATCTGTCTTCGTCTGGGTTTTATAATTAATGAGGATGGCTAAACAGGACACTGGTGTCCAAGAAGACTTTCACCTGCTTCCTCTAAAAGTCTTAATAAATCTTTATTGGTATTGAGAAAACCATTCAAGATGGAATTTCCCAAGTTTTTGTTCCTAGAACTTTCTAAAAGAACATTGTTCATCCTTCTGAGGAATTTGGAGTTAAAAATCCAAAGGATCTGAATATGAGCTCTATAATTAATGAGAAGCTGAACAGACTATTTGTCTGGATTGCAGGGAGCTGGGGTGTAGGGAACGCAGGGGCTGTAGTTGAGGAGCACACAACAGCAGCTAGTTGTTTCTATCTTCAAAGAAGGCAGACTCAGAAGAAATGACAGAAAATCAACTGAATATTTAGTTTAAATTCAAAGGGCAATTTACTAATAACAGTTACTGAACATATAACTAGCTTAAAGATGAAAAAGAAGACATAATGTCATTTGTTGGTTGTCATAGATGGACTAGGTTTCCTTCAGAGATCTGAGTGATGCACAGGATGCATGTAGTACTTTGATTCTAGGGTCATGTCAGTCCCTGGTTCAAAGAAGGGGACTGTTCTTAAACTTGACATCTCTTGGCTTTCTCTCTTAAATCATTGTTGACCCAAAAGAGTATTCTATTTCATGGTTCAGTTAATATCTTTAGAAATAAGTGTCTGTATGTAGAACCGGGACAAGGGGGAAATGACCTCACATGGTTTAATTTTAAGGGAAAACGTTTTTGTGATAATAACTGTCAAGTCCTATTTCCGAGTCGAGTATATATGCACAAGTGGTTCATCCTTTATGGCTTGGAGGTACACACTTAAGAGCTTGGTTCTTGAGGCCGGGATAGGAGATGTGAATTAGTTGATACATGTGGTTTGGAAGTCCTGGAGGGGAGGACTTCCTGTAGACCATGGCTCTCTGGACCGTGGCAATGGAACGTTGTCTGGAGTGCAGGAACAGCTTCCAGAGCCAACTCCTGTAGGAAAACTTGACAGCAGAGAAGAGTGGTGAGAAGCCAGCAGTGGCCACTGCATTGTGCACTGTGTCCTGCTGCTTTTAGTGACATCAGCTACTTTTTTATCGATCAGAACTTAAGTGCTGATGTTCTTGTTTTAAGATGCTTGTTTTCAGCATGAACACCATTTCATGTTTGAAAGGCACTCGAGAACTTTTCATTACATAATATGGACACTTGCAGACCTGCTGCTGAGATACAATTATGCAAATTAGGTCAAATTAAATAAACTTTGCAGTGGTGTTTCTATTTTTATTAATCTGGGGGTTGTTTCATTAATTCATGTTGCTTTAAGTTCAGTGATTACTCACCATCAAACTTTGCATAAGAGTCCTGTCTACTGTCTTAAGGTTTTTTATTTTTAATATTGGTTAGAATTGTGCTCTTACATTTAATCTTCATGTTGAAATAATCCTTATGCATACTTATTGCTGAAATATTTGCCTTCTAGGTGCCAGGATTGCTGAGTATTCCCAACTGTATGACCAGATTGTGTTCAGGGAAACACCCCTTAAGATTCAGAAGGATGGCTGGGCTAGCACACAACAACCCACCCTGCTCAGGGCTGCGTCACCTTCCCAGATCCAACATGGTGGTGAGGACTGGCTTTGGCATTCAACCTACAGCAATGGCGAGTTAGCAGATTTCTGTCCCCGGCCCGAGCAAGACTTGAGGTCAAACTATGCCACCTTAGAGATGAGTGCAAAAAGAACTCCAAGACAATTGTCTGCAGCTTGCTCTGTCCCTTCTCTTCAGGTCTCTGACCCGCTGCTGGGCTCCATGCAGAGATGCAGTGTGGTTGTGAATCAGCCCCACAAAGAGAATTCCTACCAGGGCCATCTTTACAACTCGCTGGGTCGGAAAGGACTCGGTGCTAAACCTCAGCCTTATAACAGGTCCCAGTCATCTTCATCAATCTTGATCAACAAATCGTTGGACTCCATCAACTACCCCAGTGACATGGGCAAGAAGCAGCTGCTGTCTTTAAACAAAAATTCCAGGTCTGAGAGCCACCAGGTTTTGCTGCCAGGTCTGGCTAACTCATGCCAGCAGGGCACCAAAAAATGCTCTGACCTCACCCTCCAAGACTCACAGAAAGTTCTGGTTGTAAATAGAAATTTACCCTTAAACGCCCAAACAGCAACACAGAACTATTTTTCCAATTTCAAAGAGACCGAAGGAGATGAAGATGACTATGTGGAAATAAAGTCAGAAGAAGATGAGGTAGAGCTGGAGCTCTCCCAGAGCCGTGAAAGAAAATCTCTCTCAAAGATGACAGATGCTGACTTCTCAGACAGCATCTGCAGCAGCAGCACGCCTTGCTCTTTGAATACTCAATGCACTCCAAAAAAGCCAGTGAACAGCAAAGTTGGGCTCTCACCTTACTTGACAGCCTATGATTCTGACAAGCTGAATGACTATCTTTGGAGGGGGCCATCACCCAATCAACAAAATATTGTCCAGTCTCTAAGGGAAAAATTTCAGTGTCTTAGTTCAAGCAGCTTTGCCTGATCTTCTGAAGAGCTGCCTGAATTCACTTATAAATTACAGATACTGATGAGGTGTTTTCTATGTACCCACATTAAAGCAATTTTGTAATAACCAGAGTTGTAAAATATACTTTCTTTTACAGCAAGTGTCAGGATCTAACAGTATCTTTTCTGGTGCCAATTGTCCTCATGTTTTATGTGAGTCAATCTTACTTGAAATTTCTTGGGCCTTTTTTAACATGCTGGCTGTGGCATTTCTTTTCCATATCCTGGCAATAGTGCCCATACTTTATGACATGCAGTAAACTCTTGTGTTATCCAGAAGCCGGGAGTGGTTTTATCTATGACTCAAAGACAACAAGGAGACTCTTTGACACCTTTTAAAAGGAAAAGAAACTAAAGCTGTTTAAGGAATTCTGCTTACAGGCTACATTTTGTTATATTTGTGGCAAGACCCTAAAATAACTTCAGCCAGAGATCTCTAAGTGCAATGTAGCCTCTGTGCCTATTTTAGGGTTTCTATGCTGCTATTCCTACAGCGTTTCATTTCAGTGAAGAAACTGTGTGAGTATTGAAAGTTAAACTGTAGCACTAATGTCCATTTGCTAGAAGCAAAAACCTTTCCTGTGTTTCTAGACAACGCCCAGAGAAAGTGCCGCTCATCCAGTTGTGAATTCGGGGTGAAATGAATGTCCTTCATGGCTTAAAACCAAGTTCAATAAAATGCAAACTGATTTAAATATTAGAAGAGAGGAAAGACTCCTGGCAACAATTTGATGGTTTTTTCATATTACAGCTGAAGAGGAAAACCCCACAGCAAACCAAATCGCCCCATGATACCATTGTGTGTGCTTACCTCTTACAAAGCAAAGAAAACCTGATGAACCACTTCAAAGCCACCCTTTTCACAGGCAACTTCATGAGTTTTGGACTGCTGAATGTCTTACCTGATCCTAGCGTGAGGTGTCATTGACTACAGGGATGGAGCAAGAGTTTATTTTCTAAACAATACACAATGTGGGATCCTGTATCTGCTTCTCGTTTTCATTTGAAACAAGGCTCAAAGTGGTAGCAAGCTTGCCTAGAAAGTGCAAGACCCTGAGTTCAAACCCCAGTACTGCCAAAAAAATCAAAAGGAGCCTTTGGTTACTAGGTTCCGACTAATTACATCCTCTATGTTATAATTATGGTCTTGACACAGCATTTCTTTGAGATATTATACAATAATCTACTCCTTATGGGCAGAAACAAAAGACAAAAAGAGTAAAAAGCAAAATCAAAGAAACTAAAGAGAAACAGGAAGGCAAATTTATTGCTACTGTAGGAAAATATTCTATTTTAGTGAAGACACCATTAACGCAGCTAGAATATTTTCTCCTGGTGCTCCCCTGCCTTGTCATGTTAAGCAGGTGTGCATTCACCTGCCCTTCACCTCCCTCTCAGTTTCCATGTTATTTTCTATTTATTCTAATGAAAAACCATTCAATTCCACTTTAAAAGATATGACAATATGTGTAGGGAAGAGACCCGGGCTTTACATTTAAAGGTAAGCAACGATACAAAATCAATGACACCTCACGATTCCTGTCCCCTTTTCTTAACTAGAAGCAAAATCTGACCATCCCTATTTTACAGATAGGGACCCAAGGAATTTGTTTTATTTTAAATAACAAAAAAATAATCCAAGTTTTCTTGTTCTCCAAAATCTCTTCTTCATCAAACAAACTCCTAGTGCCGGGTGCGTAGCTCAGTGGCGTAGCACTTCCCTAGCCTGCATCACACCCTTGCAGTTCATCCCAAGCACCGCAAAAGGAGAAAAAAAAGTTCCTATTGAATAGGATGGGTTTGGAAACATTCCTTCTTTCATTTAAATGTGAGAACTTTCAAGATCAAGCAGTGTCCAAGGCCAAGCAGCACAGAAAGTATGTTCTTAGACCTGAGAGAGATGTAAATTATTAGTATTGCCTATTAAAAAAAAAAAAAAGCTACCGCACACTTGTCCAGGAATGAAGTTTTTCATTATTTCTTTTGTAGTCTGTATGACCCAGATTCCATGTAGTCCATATTACTGTTGTGTCTGAGTCTCAGAATTTAATTCTTCATAACCTCCCCGTCTTCTATAGGAACACACCTGCTGCAAGAAGATGGACGTGTTTCATCATTTAGGTTCTAGGACAAATCTGTAGCTTTATAGATCACTTCTGTGGGACGGGATGCAGATTTTGAGAGCTGTGTGTGTATATAAATATATATATATATAATCATCTTTGTATTTTTCCTCAGAGTTACATTTAAGTGTTTTTGTTGAAAACAGTTGCTTTTGGAGGTAGGGTGGGGGTGTATATATTGGGGAAATGGTATATGTACTTAAAATTTCTTATTACGTTCCTGTACTGAAGGTTTAATTGTTTTTTATAAGTTCACTTTTCACCTACTCTATTCTTTGTGGGGGGAAATGCATCTAGGAAAACATAGTTTAAATACTGTATATAAGATAATGAAAGTTAGTAATGTCCATTATTTAATAAAGTTTGTAAAGTTCAAAGTAAATTATAGTGTGAATTAATGTGTTTATTCCATAACATCAAGATTTTTCCACACTACGTCAGGGTAGCAATGGTAAACTGCATCTTAGTGCCATTTTTCCATATCTTTGGATTACTTCTGAAATACTGAATTTGGTGTCTGGTACTTTTCTTTTTTTGGTGGGGGAGCCCCTCATGCTTGATAGGGAGGGGCTCTACCACTTGAGCCACTCTGCCAGCTCTTTTTTTGTATTGGGTATTTTCCGAGATAGAGTCTCTTGAACTGTTTGCCTGGGCTAGCTTTGAACCTTGATCCTCCTGATCTCTGCCTCCTGAGTAGCTAGGATTACAGATGTGAACCATTGGCATCCAGCTTTTTTTATTTTTTAATTTAGGAAACTAAGTTAGGTCAATCACTAAATTACCTTAATTTTTTTTTTTTAACTTTGGAGGCTAAGTTAGGTCAATCACTAAATTACCTTAAAAATGTTAGTAACAGAAGACATCCTTTTCATTGCTTTATTATTGAATCAAAAACAAGGTTTGGCACAAATTAAGGTTATTTCATATAGCTTCACGACTTGAGTTTTCTTTGATACATAAAAACTTATAGGGAAAAAGCAACTGATATAAACATTTATGGACAGTATATAGATTGATAATTGGACACTTTTTAAAGCCATTTCATTTCCAAATATAAACATAAATCTGCATTCCAATATGATGAAAGTTGGATTGTCTCATTTACCTCACATGGAGAAAACTAGCTTTATATTTTTTCTTTAAACTGTTTTTTACTGGGACTGGTAGAGTGGCTTAAGTGGTAGAGTGCCTGCCTAGCAAGTGTGAGGCTTTTAGTTCAAACCCCAGTGCCAGCAAAAAAAATAATAAAAAAGGTTGTGAAGTCTATTTAAAAAAAAAAATGTTTTATTGTAATAGGTGTCACATTGAAGAGGCCTCAGACTTGCTTTATCTTGATGTGCTATAAGTCATGAGTTCAATTTAGAAAAACCAACAGCAGTGGAAAAACCATACCCTGTGTAAATTACATACATAAATCCTTAGGAAAAAGAAAAGAATCTTAAAATATTAAGTTGTCTTTTGATGTAATTTTTTTCAAATCTCTTCTTTGAAGAGCAAATGTTAAAATATTGCAAGAGCTCTGACATCCTCTCTGACACCTCTCTCTCTAGCTGGGCAGTCATAACCTTGCTCAAGTTTTTCACCCAGAAATGGGATTACAGTAAAAGAAACTGCTACGACTCTTTGCTAATTTACATGTATCAGTGTGTCTTTATTTTAACTTCAACTTTGCCATAGATATAAGTCTGGAGCTTTCTGCAGTATGCATTTCAGTATTTTTCATTTTAAAAGAAGGTCTGAAGACAAGCATACATTCATATTTAGCTTCTCATGTTCCCTACAAGTAGTTTACAGCATGGGATTCCAAAGACATTGTGGAGTTGTGGCCCTCGGCCACAAAACAGGGAAAGGCAGAACAGCTGCATCTCCTAAATTGTGTTCAGAGAAGCAGGAACGCAGGTTTCTCCTGTTCACACCACTCCCCGAGGCTCCACCCTGTTTGCTGCAATAAAAGACCCCTGAAGGAGGCAGAGGGGTTTTACTTTGAGCTTTTTGGTGTGGGAAGGTCTTTGAAGGGGAAAATGCTAAAGGTGTTGATAGAAAGTTTGCAGAGAACTTTAACATAGGCTTCAGAAAGCAAAGCTGAGAAAGAACTTCATACATAGGCCTTAGAAAAGCTGAAGTTAAGAAAAGCCAAAGAGAACATGGGACAGTGCACAGTGCAAGTCCAATGACGAGACCTTAACAGTTATGCATATGCAGGTTGCAGGGTGGCTATCTGCAAGTTTGAGCACCGAGGCTTTGAGAGAGCTAAAGAGAGATGGGACAGTGCAAGCCTGGGGGCAAAAGAGCGATTAAGATAAAGATAAACTGAAAGCAAACATGGGACAGTCTGAGTCTAAGGAAGGAGGTTTTAAGCAAGGTTTTAAAGAACTACAAGGAGCAAGGCCTTAAAGAATCAAGATAGAGAAAAGCGATGAGGGTTGTGTATCTCCAACCGGGCGTACGACACACCTGACCCCAAATTTCTTTGTCTATCAGTATCTTTCTAAAATCTCCAGTCACCTCTAGTAAGTCCAGTTAGGTCCAGTAATAACCAAGGACCAAGAGAGAAAAACCTGTCTCCAGCAAGGGAGGGAGCGCGAGAAACGGCGCCCCCTTCACTATTTGAAAGCTCTTTTGCTGATGATCAAAAGTTCTCTTTTAGAAGAATATTCTAAAACTTAGCCACATGTAACAATTGTGTGATTTGATCCTTTTGAGCTGGAAATGCTTCTATGGGCTCTGTCCAGTGCTGAGCAATAGTTTTGTTTAATGATCAAATATGCAAAGTTAAAAAAATCTTGTTTGAGCCAAAAGCATGAGAAAAACACATTCAAGTAAGAGATGATGGAGTCAACTATGTTGCTTTTAAAAACTTACAACACCCTCAGCAATCCAATGTCTTTCCAGCTTTTTAAAGTGTCCTATGGGGTGGATCGAGGTGGCATTTTGAAAAGTCTCTGCCTTGTTTCCATTTCTAGGCTGATGGAATTCTGGAGACCTCGACTGCAAATTCCCGGTAACTTTTAAGTCAGGTATCCACAGGGGCACAAGGGTGGGATTCTCAACTCTCCTCAGAGTTCCATTTATACCAGATGTCTTTCCTGGTAATGCTTCTGGGGATGGGAAGAGAGCTGAGAGCAAACTAGCACCAGGTGTGAGCACGAAGTCAGGTGAGGTGGAGGTCCAGCGCACTGAGCTATTGGGTGCAGGAGGCAAACTTGACTGCTTTGTAATTGTGCGAGCAAAGTCCCCTTTCCCATATCTATGAGAACACCAAAGCTTTCTGACAATGGCTTGTTGACACACATCACACATGGGAAAGGACAAGTAATAGGCAGTTCCACCTCATTAGTTCCGTAACCACGTTATTCAGTGCAACATAAAAGAACAGGGCTTGGATAGCAATCAGAATTTCTGCTCTATGGGTGAACCAAGTCCCCCAGTATCCTGTTTGCATAGCATGCACAGCTGGCTCCCCACACAAGGTCATGGCATCGGCAGATTCCTTTTTCTATACGCCAGTTAAATCACAAGCTGTACACTGCAGGCCCATAGCCTGAATCTGGCTTAGGCGATTTTTAAAAGGTTGAAACATTTAATTCCAAATTTCCAGCTTCTTTCAAAGAAAACAAAAGAGAAATGTGGCCTACTTGGGGTTGGATTCTGGTGGGACAATGTTGTGAGATCTAGGGAGGGGTCCTAGAGGTAAAAATCAACCTCAAAGGTGATCTTTCCAGGGGCGGTTCCTTCAATCTGTTATGCACTTGGTTGGCAGATTTAAAGCAGTGTTCAAACACAGATGCTTTAGACAGAAAGTAAAGGCCCTAAGATAAAATGAATGTGTGTCACAGAAAGTGTGCAGAACACATTGCTTCTTGGGGAAACTTTCCACCTGGGTCACGTCATTAGTGAATCCTATCTGCCTGGTCTCTACAACCCTCCAAAGATGCAGGCATGTGAGATCAGACAGTCTCCACCCCACCCTCCTTTACTGATAGGAATTCATACAAGGTGTAAACTATTCATATTGTTACGTGCCGGGGTCCAGAACCCTTGCCTTCACGGACCAGAGAACTGGTTCATGAGGCAGCTGAGTGAAGAGCCAAAGCCGGTATAAGAAGTAGGATTTCTTAGAGAGAAAGGAAAGGCTACAGCTAGAGCACTGCAGTGGAGCCCGGAAGCCAGTGGCTCACTGCAAAGGTGAAGGCTGGGGCTTTTATGGACGTTCTAACTCTGGATTAGGTGGGTTTTTCTCATTGGCCGTGGATTTGTGGGCTTTCTTAGATGAGCTGGTCTGTTTGCCCCTTATTGGGGGGGGGGGAACAACCTTGAGAGCATTTTATCAGCCGCATGGCAGATTTAGGAGACCCTGTATCTCTTCTTTAGGATGCAGGAATGACACTGCTCTCCATGGGGGAGGGGATACCCACTCATCTGTCTCCAGACCCAACACTATTGTCTTTTAAAACACGGTCTCTAGTGCAGGACTTCCTCAAGTTGCCCACATCTGATGTCATTTCCTCTGACCTTGTACATGCCCCTGGGGCGCCTTATCCACAGTACAGTCTTTTTCTGGGAACTACCACAGCTTCCTAACTAGTCACCTGACCACTGTCTTCCCTCCTCCCCGCCATGTTCCATCCTCCTGATGGAAGTCAGCATAACATGAATGACACTCCCCACCAGTCTGCCTGCAAAGCTCCTCCCCTGTTTTTCGGGAGAAGACGTTCTTGATCCTCAACACTCTGCTCAGAAATGACTGTCCAGAACTGTGAAGGGAGTTTGCCTGCTTGCAAGCTAGCAAGGTAGCCTGCCTGGGTTTCGCCAGCACCGGCAGGTCTGAGAAAAAGAGCGTTGTTAAGCCCAGCAGGCAGCAGAGCTTCAGAATGCCAATCTTAAAAGGAGATAGCACACCTGTCCTCATGAGCAAGCTACCGCATGGAAATTCAGGCCATTTCTAGTGCACACCTACCTGACTGTGCTGTCTGACTGCTATCATCCACTGGCTGTTTTAGTGAAGGAGTTGGCACATGGCATCACACCATATGCTCACCATCCCTATACACAACCATTATCCTCAGTTACTCCAGTATTTTGATGGACAACCAATCCAACTTCCTGGTCTCTCCCTTTCTTGACTTGCTAACCACAGGTGACCTTCACCTCTATTCACTTAGGCCACAGTACCAGACAACAGAGTTTTCTACTGCAAACAATAGAAAGTGCCTGTAGCAACTTAGGCTATTGATTTGAGGTATTTCTTTTCTCTTACCTCTTTTACCTCCTCCTCCTCTTGATTTTTTTTTTTAATTGTGGCAAAATGTGTATAACACAAAATTTACCATCTTAACCATTTTAAGTGTATAATTCAGTGACTAAACAACTACTCTTCATTGCACCCTAACCACTGGCCCCCAGCCCCAGGAAATCTCCATTTTACTTTGTCTCTGAAAATTAGGACTAGGTACCTGGTACAAGTGGAACCATGCAGTAACCCTTTTATTGGATGCTATAAACACCCCTCTAAATGCTTCTTTGCCTATATTCTCCACACTTTAATATAAGCTGTTTTCATTTTCATTATATTTTATAATTTTCCTTGAGTTATTCATTAAATCATGGATTACTTAGAAATATTTTAATTTCTAAGTATTGGGAAATTTTCTAGATAGCATCATCTATGCTTCATCCACTTAACTTGCACATTTCAATGGGTTTTAGACTATTCAGTTTTATAGCCATTGCAATTTTAGAACATTTTCATTACCTCAAAAAACAGCCACAGGCTCCCCAGCTGTGTCATTTGTGCACTTCCTGTTTCTAGATTTGCATATTCTGGGCATTTCATGTACATGGGATCACACAATGCTGGTCTCTAGAGCCTTTTAAAGCATGACTGATGCAGCCCTGGTCTGCTGGAGTTACTACTCGGGACTTCCAGGGAGCAGGGACTAGGTAATACGAAACTCTGGGAGCAGTGGTTGGTGCTCGGTAGTGCTCAGAAAGTGTCTGCTTATGAATGTCCCCATTTGAGATTTAGGGGTTATGAGACCTGGTCAAGATTTTACCAGCGATTCAAGAATTTTTCATGTGCACAAATGGACTTCTGTCCATTTGTTCATTTGTAAAACGGTGGTATACCTACCTCACAGCGTTGTGAAAATATCAGCTATTCTTGAACCTACAAAGTCATGGCATGTCAGATGGAGCAAGCATCCTACAATGCAAAGTACAGATCATGGCGTGAGATTACTGACATCATTGCAGTCAGGCAAACTCCAGCTCTACCAATAAACCAGCTGCCTTCTCTGGCACCAGTTTCCCGTGGTTGGAAATTAAGATGCTAGTACTCAACTCCTTCCATCTGTGGAGATTAAATGAGGCCTCTTTCCAAACCCTGTGTGGTGCTTAGCACGCCGAGAACCAAGTGTCTCTGACTCGAAGGTTTCATTCCTACCTGACACAGAAATTAAAAGTTACAATCTTACTCCCACTTTACTTGGAATTTACAAAATTATACTGTCAATCCCACTTTATTTGGAAACTCCTATCCTTGTGAGGTTATAAGGAATCTGGTTGACGAGACAGGGAAGGTCCACGGGAGAGTTAAGTAATCTGCCCAAGATTACGGGCTCACCCACCCGTGTCCTGAGGCCACCTCCAGAACAATACATCCACGTCCTCCCAGCTACCCTGGTGCAGAGCCTCAACCTCAGCTCCGGCCGGAAGTGAGCTGCCATCCGCAGCGCGGGGGTAAAGCCAGCATCCTGAGGCTGTGCAACCTTGGGGCCGGAGCTGAGCCCCACCTCCTCTGACTCAGCCGCGAACCAAATTTCCTGCAGCCCATGAAAGCGCCAGAAGCCTACCCTTGACTTCCAGGCAACTCTGACGAGCAGCCTCGCGTCCCGCGGGCCCCCGCCCTCCCAACGTCACGGCCACTAGGTGCAGTGCCCGCTAGGGGCCCCCGCTCCTCTAGGAGGAAGAGCCCGCTCCTTCCTGCCGCTGGTCCGTTACTGGCCGGCTCGGCTCTCTCTGGCGCCGGACCCACCACCCTCAAGAGGGACGGCACCCCGATCGGCCCCGCGCTCGGTAGCCGCATCTGGGCGTGGCAGGAGGACCTGCGCCCCGCGCTCCCCCCCCGCCCCCGCACCATGAGCGCGCGCCTGCCGCTCGTGCTGCGCCAGCTCGGCCGCCCGCCGCGGACCCCGGGTCTGCCGCGCCATCTCCGCGCACCCTGTCGCGCCAGCAGCGGCGGTGGCGGTGGCGGGGTTCCGGAGGGCCTGCGCGGGCAGGGACGGCTGCAGAATGGCCAGGCCTGGAGCAGCAGCGGTCCCGGCAGCCCGGCGCCCTCCGCGCGGGACTCCATCGTCAGGTGAGTGTCGGGCCTGGCCCGCGTCCAGCTCCCCAAAGCGGAGGCCAGGACCCTGGGCATAGGGAAGGCGGGGCGCGTTGCAGATCGGGGGCGGCGAGTGCTTGGTGCCAACTTGCTCGGGACTCTGGGCAGTGTGCGGGGGAAGCCAGCAGGCGGAGGACAAGCACGGCCTAGGAATCGGGATCCGGCGGGCGCGGGCATCTCCGGCCGGCGCCGCGCGCACGGACCGCACGCCCCGCTCCACGTGCGCCACCAGCCGCCGGCTCTGATGTTACGGCGCCGGCGCGGCCCGGACAGGAAAGGGGCGGTGCGGCCCAGGAGGAGGGACCGCACCCGCAGCCCCGGGCGCCTCTCCGGGGACCGCTGAAGCTGCCCCGCTCAGGGACGAGCCGTGCAGTCACTCCCATCCCACCCCCTGGGACCGCGGCCTCCTCGTCCCGAGTGGGAGACCAAGAAGGAAGAGCCCTGATCAGGCTCCTCGTGGAGAAGTGGAACCACTGGGTCCCAGACGGTGCAGAGCGACGCGCTCCGGATCCACCCGGCGGTGGCGGGATTGCCCTGTCCCGATTCCCTCCCCGCTAGGATTAGGACCCAGTCCCAGAATGCTGTCTGTCTGGACCAGCTGCCCCTCCTCCGTTCACCTCCTCCGTGTCCCTTGTAGCTTTCATTCTAAAAGCCATTGCCCTCCGCCTTGCGTCTGTGCCCTCCCCCCCACCCTCCGCTCCGTGACGTCAGCTCCTCCTCCGTGACGTCTGAGACTGTGATGTGACTGATGAGTTGTAAGAGGCACTTTACTTAGATCATATCGACCTTTTTGAACGTTGGATTTATTTTGGGTCACTAGATTTTAACCAGCATACAGCCGAGCATTATTTTAGTGGGTTAGGGTCTGAAGACAATGTGGGAAGCAAAACCAGCACCCATCATCCTGTTTTTGTTTTCTTCCTGGCATTGGTTGTACCTTTATTTGTTCATTTCGTGTTTGTCTCAACCACCTGGCCAGTGTCTCTTCTTCATCATTCTAGCCTTGTGAAATGGTCAGTGAATACATGAGTCACGGTTATCCGGAGGTCTTATTCATGCATGTTTGTGGGGTTTTTAAAAAATTATTTCTCTCTTAAATCGGACTGCCAGGTCACTCCAACACAGATGGGAACATATAAGGCAGGGAGCCAGGTCATATTATTATTACTATTATTTAGACAGGGTCTTGCTGTGTAGCCCGTGCTGGCCTCACGATGGAGATCTCCTGCCTCAGTCTTCCACTGCAGCCTCTCAAATCAGCCTTTTGGGTGCTGGGATGACAGGCACTGTACCACCAGACCCAGATGCTGAAAGCCATGAGCGCCTTAGAGAGGAGGTAGACCGAAGGCTGAGGGTGTGGTTCCGCTGCTGGAGCATGGGCCTGTCAGGCACAAGGCCCTGGGTTCAACCCTCAGTGCCACCACACCTCAAAAAGAGTAGTGCTCAATAGGGGGCTCTAGATCCCTCTTCAGTGTTCTCTCCAAACAACTACCTCAGGAGAATGGAGAGGGTGACAGTACTTATCTCAAGAGACCACCAAAAACTAACCTGGGAACTGTCACACACTAAGTCTTCAACAAATGTGGACTGGTTCCTTTATGATATCCTAAACTAGGGCTGTAAACTTCTGGTGCAGTGGGCCAGATGCTAAATATTTTGGGGGTAGTGTGGACTTAGAGGCAAAATTAAAAAAAAAAAATTATGTAGGTACTTTCATAACAACAACTAATTTCTAGAGTTTTTAAATGAAATTCGGCATTTACGAACACTGAAATTTGAATTTCGTGTAATTTCCAAATGCTGTGAAATAGTCTTATTTTTTTCTAACCATTTTTAAAGGTAAGATCCCTTCGTGGTTAGAGGGTCATAGTTTGCCAGCTCCTGTTCTACACCAGGAAAAAGCGTGTATCAATGAGTCTGCTTCTTAGAATTATGGTTAAGGGCCAGGAGCAGTGGCACATACCTGTGACCCAGCCACTCAGGGGATGGAGATTGGGAGGATCAAAGTCCAAGGCCAGTTGGAGCAAAAACACTAGACCCCCCCATCTGAAAAATCACTACAGCAAATAAGGGCTGGTGGCATAGCTTAAGTGGAGGAGCGTCTGCCTAGCAAGTCCAAGGCCCTGATTAAAAACCATAACAGGGGGAAAAAAAGTATCTCAGGTATTTTGTTAGAATAATGGAAGGTGACTAATATGACATGATCGACCAACAGTCTTATAACACAGAGTGACAGTGAAAAGCACAAAAAACATTGAAAAACAACAAAAATTCGTTCTACTCAAGTCACTTCCTGAGTATGAAGCTCTGGAATACTTCGTTTATATTTTCCTCGCACTGTTTATATAGGAGTGGCTTATGGCAAAATAAGTCTAAATAGTCTAAAAATTCTGTCAATACTTACAGAATAAGCACTGTGTTAAGAAAAGAATGTGCTGTAGTTTAACTAGCATCATTGTTTTTTTATTGGTTCATAAAACAATGGTGTAGATTTGATGGTATGCCATAAGTGAAATCATTGTATTTAAACGCTTAGATCAGCTCATCCATGAAGTAGGAATGGACCAGTCTGCTTTAATACTGCCTGTCTTTGTCCAGTTTGTGCTGCTACCACAGGCTGGGTAATTTGTAAACAATAGAAATTTATTTCTCACAGGTCTGGAGGTTGGGAAATCCATGTCAAGGTGCTGGTGTCTGGGGAGGACCTGCGCCATACCATCTGAAGGCAGAGATGGGGTGCAAACTCATCCTTTGCATCAGGAAAGGATAACGGCGTTAAGGACTGGAATCTCTTAGAGTTCCCATCTCAACACTGTTGCATTGGGGATTAAGTGTCTAACTCACGAGCTTTGGGGAAATATTCAAACCATAGCAATACCCAAAGTACCATGACTTTACTGTCCAGTGGAGAGAGTCCAGGGAATGCAGGGATCCCCAGGATGGCTACTCAATGCTCCAACTCTGGGTAAAAGACCCATTGCTCTGGTCTCACCACTGCCCAGCCAGTGAGAGAGAAGAGGGGCTGGGTTGCTGGTGCATGGTCCTTCCTGCCTTCTATTGGCTAGAAGCCAGTCACATGATGGCCTGTGCAGCTGAAACTCAGAATTCTGTTATCACAAAAGCGGAAGAACTAGTTTTTGCTGTTCCTGTCACATTGACTACATCGACTAATTGCCAGTGTGGTGGGTTAAACTCCGTACTGCTTTTACCCTGAACTTGTTTCTCTGATCTGCAGTGACTGTCTTTGAGGAGACTGCTTTGGAAATTGTCACTTTTTCTAGAAGGGTACTACCTCTTTTGCATTTTCAACAGTCTGAGAAGTTGAAAGTAGCCTATTGTTGATGAACAGACTCAGCACTCAGGACAGCTATGCTGGTAGCTTTCAGTCCTCCCAAACTCGGGCGTGGTCACACTGGTCCTGTGGGAGGATAAGGAATGTGGCCATAGAACAAGGCAGCTTTGTGCCCAGCTAATTTGCTTTTGCCCAGCCAGCCATCAGGAGATGGCATGAGCGGTGGTTTCACAGTAGGCACAGCCAGTGTAATTAACAGGAATCAGAATGAAGCTGGTGATGATGGCTGACGCTCTTATTAAACTATCTTTAATAATAGAATTCTGAGTTCTAGCTACACACTGCAGCCCCCTGGCTGGACACCCATTGCTCCTCAGTGTCTGTGGTCAGGATGGAATTAACAAGGCTGTTTTCCTCCCCTGAGGGCAAGGAAATCTCTGATTAGAAACATTTGTGCTACTTTTTAGATTCTTGGGCCTGGTAACTTTTCTCTTGCTGGTTTAGCTCCTTACCCTGGGATCATGAGTAACCTTAAAGAACGAAACATACCTGTGGTACTGGTGCGCCCCACAGGAGCCAATTTTGTTTGGTTACAATGTTGAGCCTCTTATTCACCCATACTGTCCATCAAACCATTGTCCCCTCAGTGATTTTATTTGTTATTACTTTTGGTTTTGTGAGACAGGGTCTCACTGTGCAGCCCAGGCTGGCCACAGTTCTTTAGCCTCTGCCACCCAAGTGCTGGGATTATAGATGTGAACTACCGTGCCTGCCCTTCCCCCTGCCCCAGCTATTTTTAAAGTCTGATTCTTTAACCTGTTGGTGACTTATCTGTTGAAGTGTTCGATATTGAACACTTCAATAGATATTATTGAAGGTGGGCAAGATTGATGTTTTCTATTAGTATGAGTGTTTTTAGTTTTCAAGGGAAGCTCTGAGGCAAAGAAAAAAAGTATGTCCACTTAAAAGACAAAAGTCAAGGAATACACCTGTTTACAGATGAGAAGGCTGTGTCCGTAGAGACAAAGTAAACTGCCCACACTGGAAAATGAAAGGCCTGAGTGCCGGGTCTGTCTGTATGTCCACTGTCCTTGTTCCAGAACTATCCGGATGCTTGTTTAAGGAGTCCCCTTCCTGGGCCCCTCCCCCAGCATGCCGAATCAAACTTTTATTTCTGCCATGAACTGCGTGGGGCCCACTCTCCAGTGCCTACACACACCAGGCAAAAGCTGGGACCCAGCCTGGCCTGGATTAGCAGCCCTGTCAGGCTGAAGACCTTGTCGCCCATCACTGGACACGTGGTATTTAATAAGGTGCTTTATAAATGTTCCCATATGGTCTTGTCCATTCGGCACAATAATGCAGCTACTTCAGTGGGGATTAAGTTGTTTTATGTCAAGTGTTTAAACCACAAGCAAACAAATGCAGGTTGTACGCAGTTGCCTGCCCATCCACTGAGTCTGCATGTTCTAGACCTTGTGACAGTAGGAAGGCTGGTCTAGTATCAGCTGTGTGTTTCCAAGGTTCCTTAAGCACCTCCCTCAGCACACAGTGCCCTCTGGTCGCATTTCTTAACTACTGCTCTGAAAGTTGGGAAACTTTTTGCTCTTGGTGACTTACTGCTGGTAGGACCTGGCTGGAATTCCTTCCTCTTGCATTTTTTTAAAGATGTTAAGAACCTCTCAGAAACCAAAAACAACATTTACAGATGGTCTGGGACTAAGGGTGTGGCTTAATGGTAGATGCTTATCTGGTATGTGTGAGGCCCTTTGGTTCAATACCCAGCACTGCCAAAAAGAAAAAAGGTTTAACATAGAAGTTGGGAACTGACTATGGAAGAGGGGTTTGGAGAGGAGAGGGACAGACTGCCATGGTTCACATGCTAGCAAGGACATTTCGAGTAGGTGATTGATGTTGGTGAAGGTGACTTCTGAAATCACTCATTCAAAAGGCTCCAGAAAGGGCCTGTTTCCTGCCACACTTATGTAGGTCTGCAACCCTGGACTGGCATCTCTCATCTCCAGGGCTCCATGGGGAAGGTGACCCCTGTTGTGCTGTAGGAGACCAACACACAGACCAAGTTGTCCCCAACAGTGAGAACTGTCTTCCTAAAGAGGCCTGTAGAGAGTCACCAAATTCCCATGTGCTCCCTCCTCAACTTCTCTTCCCCTCCGGTTCCTCTTCCTTCACCTTCCTCCTTGAAACTCTGGGATCTGGAGTTCAGCCTGAAAGCTCTCTCCCCAACCCCATCCTCACCATCCTCTTCCCTACCTGTATTTGTTTTCTTTCCCCCAGATCCCAAATTCAATTTGGAGGGACTGGGAGAGTATGGTGGAACTAATTAAAATAAAAACCCGGAGATTTTATTGTAGTAAACTTGGAAAAAACCAAAGAAAATTCGCCTCTGGGAATTTACTGTTACCTAAATGGCTTGTTTCCCTCTGCATATTTTAAGATCAGATTGTCATACATTTAGTGTTTCTTAATGTCACTGTTCACTACTCTTCCTTCTGTTGTCTATTTTCACTTATAGTAGTGAACTTGGTAAAAGGATATGTTGTGTCCATCCTTTCTACTCATGAACAAAGAAGTAACTATGTTGTTTTTTTCTTTCTGTATGTAGAGAAGTCATTCCACAATTCAAAAGAAGTTCTGAGTTTGTTGCAAGAAAAAAACCCTACCTTTAAGCCGGTTCTTGCTATTATTCAGGTAAGCCAAGAACATGGTGTAGCCCTCCTGTTTTAAGATGCCTTTCAATTTAGAAAATAATTACATGTAAAAGACCAGCTGCATTTCTTATCAAAGAGAGAGGGCTCAGTTGGAAGCCCTGTTCTTTTCTGTCTTTGACCATTTGCTTGTGCCAGTTAGCTATTGGCCTGCTTCAGTCTTCCTTTCTGAGAGTGAGGGGCACCCATATAAATCATGTTATACGGGTATGAGACAGCCCCCGTGTGCTTCTAGATGCTTATCAGATGTGACTTGAAGGTGATAGAGGGAATGCTCCTTTTTGTTTCTGTGGAAGACAGATGCTAGGTGACTCTGGGTGCTTGGTAACCTTTTCACTCTATCTTGTGCAGCCTGTGTGCCAAAAGTCATCACTGTGTCAGAGGGCTCTGCCTTCCATCCACAGTTTTTGCTGCAGCCCCTTAGTGCCAAGCTATACTTGGCACGCTTGCTGTCGTCATTGGCAAACTCGGGCAGGGGCAGGTGCCGGGAATAATGAGGTGAGCCAAGTCTGGAAGCTGATATGGCCCAGCAGTTGGACTCCTGCGGTGATGGCTTGGCCACTAGTGAATCAGAACGACAGCCTGCAGGTCTCTCAGTGCCATGTTTTTTGAGATTGTACAGCTGTACTCATGGTACTTACATTCTTTGGGGTCTGAACCCCAAAACCCCTCACACAGAAAGGCAAGTTAGAGCACTAAAAGGGGAAAATAGTTTGAGAATCTGGGCTTCCCAGGAACCTGCTTACTCTTTGACTTTCAAAAACCTTCCAAACTCTTCCTGTCTTTGTCCTTGTGTGAGAGGGATGCTGGCTATGTATGTACTGATGTCCTTCTTATTTGTCCTGTAATATATATGTTATTTTTTAAATGACACCATTTGAAAGCCTGAGAGATTAGTATGTTCATAAATACTAACAATTACTTTCTTTTTACAAGCAATAAGATTTGTTTTTTCTGTACTTGCCATATCATCTTACATAGTCTGTCATCACATAATCCTGTTCCTGTGTTCTGATCTGTGCCTTGTCCAGATATTCTCGAGCGGTTTTGTTCTCCTCTCCTTAGGCTGGTGATGACAACTTGATGCAGGAAATTAACCAGAATTTGGCTGAGGAGGTGAGGATTGGTGACTTTTTTAAAAGTTCATTATAATTCTTTCCACTGTATTCTCTTGTTGTGACAGAGAACCTTGTGTCCCTTTGCAGGCTGGTCTGAACATCACGCACATCTGTCTTCCTCCAGACAGCGGGGAGAATGAGGTAATTTCTTCCAGCCCTTGTTTTTCTTTCCTCCTCAGGTTCTGTAGGCCTGGGGGCATCTCCTTTTTGGTGGGAACAGGTGTAGCCTTTTCTTGTGGCTGACTTTCCAGGGAGGAAGAGTCCACTTTGCTCCCTGGTCTCTCTCTTCCTTCCTGTATGTTTAGCTGAAGACTTGAGTTAGGACGACATTGTGGTTGTGGCTATTTATTCAGCTGTCACGGCAGTGTCATTTAGTGAAATTGTTGGACTATAGGTATCTGGAAATGTGGCTCCGATCTTGCTCTGTCCTGACAGGTTTTTGGTCCTGGACCATTCCTTTGGTGTCTCTGGGTCACAGTGGCCTTATTGACACAATAAAGGAACAGAACAAGATCTCTTCAGGGTCTTTTCTAGGCTAACATTTTGGGACTCCTTCCTTGGCATTTTGATATAAAATACCCATGGGTTTCCCTTTACTGCTGTTCCATGTGGTCTAGTTGTTTCTGCCAGCAGCCTTCCCTTCTGTCATTTCAACGTGGTCCCTGTCAGCAGTCATGGCAAGGCTGTACTACACACTATGGTGTCACTGCTGGGCCTTTCCCTTCTTTGGTTAGCTTTCCTCTGGCTGGCTGTGGTAGTGAGGAGTAGGGTAGGATTCATGAACACCTCAAGTAACAGAATCTTACATAGCAGAGTTTATTTTCTTACACATGAACAAGGTTTAGAACATGGCAGTCCCTGGCTGAAAGCATCACAAAGTCATTAGAAACTCAGCTGCTGCTTCCCACTTCACCATCTCTGTGGTTTTCCTCCTAGTCCAAGATGGCATCTACTCTTATCTGTCACACCCACATTAAGGAGAGGTTTTCAAAAGTATCATTGTAAGGAACAAAAAGGGACTGTTGCCACAGGGGAAGGGGGGTGGTTTACTGTGGTTCCCCCTTTGTCAAGGAGGCTAAGTCCCAAAATACCCAGTAGAGGCCTGAAACCACAGATAGTACTAGACCATATATATATATATATATATATATATATATATATATGCATTTATGTGTAAATGCACACACACACACACACACACACCCACACCCTCCTGCCTCTGTCTGTGAGTACTGGGACTTTATGAGACAGGGACTCACTGTGTAGTGGAAGATATATATTAGCACACACATCACACACACACACACACACACACACACACATATAATAATTATGACTTCCCTTAGGCTGAATTGCCAACATCATTATCCATGTGCTTCGGGGCCATCATTAAGTAAAAGTAAAAGTTACTTGAACACAAGCACTGTGAAACTGCTTGTGTTGATCTGATAACCCAGATAGCGATCAAGTGACTAAGGGGCAGATAACAAATACAGTGTGATCACCCTGGACAAGGCGATGAGTCATGTCAGCTTCCATTAAATTTCTCAGAGTGGTGCACAACTTAAAATAGTTCATTTTTGAAACTTTCCCTTGAGTTCTTCTTTATCCTGCAGTTGACAGAGTAACCGAAACCTTGGAAAGTAGAACTGTGTAAGAGGGAACTAGTTGTATTGCGGTAGGAAGAATGCACTGACTACAATCCTGAGTCCTCTCCAGGACTAGGTGGACAGGGTTTTTCTTCTGTAGGGAAGAATAAACAAGGGTAGAAAGAAGGGTGTGAGGAAAGAGGTGAAAGGGTCACTTGATGGGATCAGAGACTTTGTCCCTTAGGCCAGCCTGTTCACGGGAGGTGCTATGTGCTCCCGGGACTAAGGATTGACCCAAGGTTCAGGGATCTGGAGGGAGAGAAGCTTAACCAGAGTGGATAACAAGCATTTTGGGGAGTGGCTCAAGTGGTAGAATGCTTGCCTAGCAAGCATGGGGCGCTGAGTTCTATCCCTAGTACCACCAAAAAAACCCCCTAAAACCAAAAAAACCGCACTCAGCATTTTGTTCTCTAGTCTTTGGGAGCAAGCAGTTCAGCCAATCATTGATATGAGACAGTGGGCTTTTGTAGTCTATATCTTGCCTGTGTCCTGTATAGACTGTGAGTCCCATCTAGGTCTGATTGGGAAAGGCAATTCTTTGAAGTACACAGAGGTTGGGGGGTGGAGAGGGGTGAGGCTTCTTAACCTTCCTTCTTTTCCAGGATCACAGGGCCCAGATAAAGTTCAGCATTGTCAGTAGAAATGGAAGGGAAGAATGAAGACAGGCCTCCTCCCTCTTCCCCTTAAGGATGTTTCCTATAAGTCATAATTCTGCTCCAATTCTGTTGACTCCATCCTCATTGCCTGGCCACACTGCAATGGAAGCTGGGAAATGTAGTCTGTATACCAGGGGGCCTTAGACCATTTATTCTCACAGCTAAAAAACCAAGGGTTTCTTCCTAAGAAAGAGGGAAACTGAATATTGGACAAGTAGCTTACACCACTTTTTCATGTAACAAATATTAACACCAGCATTAGCAGAATGCAAAGAAATTTCTGCAGTACAATTTGTGGGTTTTTTATGTTGTTTTGATTGGCCTTGACTTTTTTTTCTTTTTTCTTTTTTTTTTTTTTTTGAGATTGGGCCAGCACAGGCTGGCCTCAGACTAGAGATCCTCCTGCCTCTGCCTTGGGAGAGCTGGGACTTTTGATTTTGCTTTTTATAGGACAGGGATTCACTGTGTATTCTGGGTTGGCTGGAACTCTGTAGCCCAGGCTCCACTCCAACTTCCTATCTTCCTGCTTCAGCCTCCAAGTGCTGGGATTACAGGTGTGCACCACCACTCCCCTCCTGGCTTATTTTTTGACAAGAAATGATTTCTTCCCTAACCTAAACTCTAAACCCCCTCCCCATCCTAACCTCTAACCCTCCCTTTACTCCTATTTTTCTTTGGTGAAATTCTGATAAAAATAAACTAATATGGTATTACTATGTTGAAAAAGAATATCTTAATTTATTAAGATTTTTTAAAATTTTTGTTGCTTCATCCAAATCCTAGGTACAGGTAAAGATGGTCCCCTCACTTCATTCTGAGCTCTGCTTAGATGTCCCGGCTCCAGAGCACCCCTATCCACCACCGATAACCCACTTTGTTTTTCTTCACATCAGTGATCACTTTCAGGCTTATAATAATATTAATATTTGGTGGGGGAGGGGTTGTGCCTCCCCGTTAGAATCATCAGGTTTACGAGGGCACTTTCATTTATAGCTAGCTAAATTTCCTTAATTAGAACTAGTACAGGCTTAGTGGCTCAGGTGGTGGGGTACTTGTCTAGCAAGCACTGCGCCCTGACTGCAACTCCCAGTACTGCCAAAAAAAAAAAATCGGTACAAAATAGGTAAAATAGGTGCTCGGAACATATTCATTGAATAAAAACATGCTGAATAAATGGAAAAAAAAATTCTCGATTTGGTACACCAAAATCACTGTAGTGATTTTTACTAGGAAATGAAACAAAAATGTACCTCCTCCAAGTGAGATCCATAAGCACAAGCTGGAACCTTCTTACTCATGAGCCAATAGTTCTGTTAAGCAGAATGGATCAGGATCCATGTGTGCTACATTTTAACTGTCATAAGCCTTTGGAAAGGCTTCCAGTTTGTCACTCTGGAAAGTGTGACCCCGAGGGCCTCAGTGGCTGTTGGAGGCTGTGGTTAAGAAGCTGTTGGTGAACACCTGATGTTTGCAGTGCTCAGGCTTAGCTGGGCCAGCTTGGAGTGCTTGGGACTCATGCTTCCCGCCCTCCTGGAAAGCAGGCAGTGTGTTTGGGTTAAAATATGATTGTTGACAGATAATTATCTTTCGTCTCTCTAAACCTTAATAACTGTTGAGTCCTGGTTTTGTTTTGTTATTTTCTGGCACAGAACAGAATGATAAAAAACTATGAAGTCACTAAAAAATTGAGCCAAGCTTCTTTTGAGCTTTTACAAACATGATAAAAAGAGGGAATAGACTTCTTCATTGTGCTTTTGAGTTTGTCTTCAAAACAGATACTTTTTAATGATTTTTTTGTTTGTTTACACTGTACTGAGTCGACTTTGGTCCTCATTCTTGCTAGGCAAGTGCTTTATTACTTGAGCAACGTCCCAGCTCTCTTTGCTTTAAGTTTTTTTTTTTTAAATAGGGTCTTACTGTTTTGGCCCAGGCCAAACTGGACCATGATCCTCCTAACCTACCTGGGTAGCTAGGATGACAGGCATGCACCAACACACCCAGCTTTTTATTGGTTGAGACGGGGTCTTGTGAACTTTTGCCTGTGCTGGCCTCCAACTGTGATCCTCCCAATCTCTACCTCCCAAATAGTTAGAATTATAGGCAGCGTGAGCCACTGTACTCGGCTCGAACCTATTCTTATATAAACTTCTCGATTCTTATTTTCACAAAACTGATTTTGTTCTCTTTAGATTATAAATGAAATCTTGAAGATTAACGAAGACACCAGAGTACATGGCCTTGCCCTTCAGATCTCTGAAGACTCATTTAGCAACAAAGTACTCAATGCTTTAAAACCAGAAAAAGATGTGGATGGGTAAGAAATACAAAAGAAAAGAATCAACCTGTATTGGTAAATAACAGACTACTGTGGGGTTTTTTTGTTTTGGGGAGGGGAGTTGTAAATACTAATTTTTGCAACCATGTCAGTAATTAGCTGAAAGGAATCATTTAGAGTACCTCAGGAGTGTGAGACGCCGAAGCTTCTGTGTGCAGAAGTTCTTTATCTTGGAGAAACACTTGTCCTGTTCATTTAATAAGTTCTGGTTTTATAGACTGACCAGCTCTCCTCTCTGAATCGTTTTTCTGGGTAATTCTCCCAGACACCTGAGACCTGTTTCCCAGCCGTTCCATATTCTCTCTTAGCCTCAAACCAGTTGAGAAAAACAAAACAAATTCTTTTCTTCACGACACAGGATTTTTGTGAAGTTTGAGGCTGGGGTGGGAGTCGTAAGCGTTGGGCTCTCTGTCCGACGTTGGTCTCTGGTTCCCATTATGTATGACGTGAGTTTCATAGGACACAGATGCCTCCAGTGGACAAGGGGGAATCGGCCTGTTTCCTGAGGACTAAAACCTCCATCTTCCTGTGTGGAAATATGGAAGTATTTTGTAATATGGCTAAAAGGAACACAACGTATTTAGGGCTTCAAGGTAACGAGCATATTTATAAAGTTAGACTCCTGGTCTGGTGTTTCTTGATGGAGAATTTGCCACCTCGTTAGCCACCCAGGCTTCTTCCGCTCTGTCCTTTTGTCATGACGTGGGGTAGACCCCAGACACAGGTTCAAAAGCAGTGGCCGGGGTAGGAGAGTGTGCTTAGCGTGCGTGCAGCCCTGGCTTCAGCCCCCCCCCCACCTGCCACTGTCCCAAAAGTCCCCAGTCCTACCGTAGATTCTCTATAACAGGAGAAGAACAAATCCATGAGAAAGCTTCCAGAACCTGAACATAACAGGGGATAGTTTGAAATCTTTTCATAAAAGTAGAGAATTATGAAAACTTTTTAAACGTCTTCATTTGTTACTAATCTGGGTTGGGACCATTGGCTTAGGCTACACCGTTATTGAATGTTTTGTCCTAAATTTGAATGTGGAAAGGCACAGAGGTCATTGAAATACGTGATGTCTCATTTTTTTTTCCCCTTGATTTCCCAAGAAGATAAATACCGAGGTCAAGTGGGGGTCTGACCTGTGAATCCCAAGTCTTACTGGGTCACTCCAGTTTGTAGGCTCAGTTCTGGGTTCTGAGAGTGGACTGAGAGTAAAGTTTGGGGGCCACCATTTCCTTTTAAGCCACTGAAGATGCTTCCTGCAGTTGCTGGAGTTCAACAGAAAGCCTTGCACGCCTTGTGCTGTGTCTTGATGCGCGTGCAGAACCAGAGCTCCCTCGGTAGGGCGTGAGCAGAGGGGATGCGCTACAAGGCTAAAGGCCTGTCTTCCCTGCCGCCTGTTAATTCTTGTTTATCAGAGCCTATCTGTCAGACATTGCTTGGATGGTATCGGAGATGAATACAAGTGAATTATCATTGAATGGCTTTCAATTCCTGCTTCCTTCCTTCCTTTCTGATTCAGGGTGACAGATATCAATCTGGGGAAGCTGGTGCGCGGCGACGCCCATGAGTGCTTTGTTTCACCTGTCGCCAGAGCCACGATTGAACTTACTGAAAAATCAGGTATGATGCCCCTTCAGAAGTTTCTATTTTCTATTTATTGCTGTGTATGTATTTTTAAAATATGGATTTGTTTCTAGAAGACTCTCATTGAAGTACCAAAGTAATATTTAGTGTTGACTTTACTTTTCTCATCTTTTAGTTTGGGAAGCAGAAATGAATGAATAGAACATTTTCTAGTAAGATTGGCTATAATTTAAAAGGGAAATGGGTAAAGATGAATGATAGCCTGTTTTAAACATTCTCAAATTTGCTCATGAAGCAGTCAAAATGACCACAGTGAAACATGTCTTAAGTTTCAGCTTCTGGAATCTGTCATTCCGTAGGTATAGATAAGTCTTAACTCAAGACTGTAAGGAAGCCATTAGATGTCATGTAGAATTCAGACACCTAGATTGAGGTCAATTAAAGAGCAGTGTCTTTCTCAGTAGTCATTACTTAATTTCCGTCATTCTCCTTTTGATCTTGCATTTTTATGCCAGTGAAAAATAAGAGAATTTATCTTTCTTGATTATTACATTTAATGAGCAAATTACTACTAAGTGTCTAATACATGTAGGGCTTTCTAGCTAAGAACATAATAGTTCAACTAATTTTTCTCTACCTCAATTTGAATAGAAGAGAGGCAGATGCCCCACCTCCACCCCGAGCATGGAACAGCCAGGCAAAAATTCCAAAAATACGCAGCACAGTTTTGTGAAAAGTTTAACTGTCAGGATATACCCTTAGGTCAGTAACCATTAAGTAAAATTCAGAGATAATCCATTTATACAGTGTTCTTCTTCCATATGGATTATTGAGATGATAGTTCTGGGCCACTTTACCAGAAAATTCTCAAAGAAAGGTAAATTGTGGCTAGTAAAATATATGAATGCATTGTAGAAATAAATCAATCCGAATTGGAGCCTAAAGAGTACGAAAAGAGTTTTGGTTAATTATCCCCTCATCCCTAGCTCATAGTCACTGTAGCGTGTTGCTGAGGAAGCCAAGTTTTAAAGGCCATTTTTCCTTCAGTAAAAGCTATTTGGGGAAAGATGTGAAGTTTGACTATAACATTGAACTGTTGTTGGTTGGTAGGTGTCAGCTTAGATGGGAAGAAGGTGTTGGTGATTGGGGCTCACGGATCCTTGGAAGCTGCCCTACAGTGTCTGTTCCAGAGAAGAGGGTCCCTGACGATGAGTTCCCCGTGGAAAACGTCTCAGCTTGAAAGCAAGGTAAGTGTCATGTGGCAAGTGCTTAGGCCAGGCAGAAAGAAAGGCTGGAGATACATGAGCTAGGCATTTCACTTAAGAAGGTAGAAAAAGAACCATAGAAAAATCTCAAAGGATGAAAATAATAAAAAGTTAAATGTCAATGAGATTGAAAATAAATGTATGTGAGAGACTATCAACAAAGCCCCCAGTTGGTTCTTGAGAAAGACTAGGAAAAAGACACACAACTAGCCAAAGTAAGAGGAAACAAGAGAACACAATGATGACAATAAAGAACAAGGAGATATAATCACAGAAATAAAAGTTATTTAAAGAAAAAAAAATGCCATCTATAATATAATGCTTGTAAGTTTGAAAGTTTGTATGAAATGAAGACTTTCTTAGAAACATGTAACTTCCCAAGTGGACTTAGGTAAAATTTTTTAGACATATACCCATTAATGACATTGAACCAGTCTTCTCATCAAGCGAGCAAACGAGGAAAGATGACAGTTATTTTTCAAATAAGTTCTACCAAAGAAAGAAGATTTTTCTAATTTAAGCTTTCTTCCAGCTAGTGGAAAGGGAGGGAACATATCTTAAACTCTTTCATGAATGCCAAAACCAGACAAGGACAGGGTGCTAAAGAAAAAGTAACTGACCAATAATTTCACCTATGAATGTAAATGAAATAATCATAACAAAAGTCTTAGAAAACCGTACTGGTGGAGTGGCTCAAGTGGTAAGAGTACCTGCCTAACAAGCATGAGACCCTGAGTTCAAACCCCAGTACCACCAAAAAAAAAGTTGGGTTTCTTTTAGGAATGCCATGGGAATTTAGATCAGAAAATCTATTACCTTATTATCAGATTAAAAATTATATTCTTACTGTAATAGAGAAAAATCATTTAATAAAGTCTAGTAGTATGATTTTTCCTTAAAAAAAAATCCTTTTAAACTAGGTATTTAAAGGAATTTCTTAAAGTAGTAAAACATCAACCAAAATTTATAACAAATACCTTCCTTAATAGTGGAAAGATTACAAACATTTAAAATTGGGAAGGATCAGGGTATCTGTTGCTAGTACTCCTAATTGTCATTGTACTGGAATTTTTAGACAACACAATAGTATAAGAAAAAAGAAAGGAAAAAAATTCATATTGATTGGAAACAAGACACCGGATCATCTATTGGTTAGTAATGAGTGATATGACTGGCACGACATAAAAGGCCTAAGCAATCTATAAAAAGTAGGAGAATTGATGAGTCCACTGAGCAGATTGACTGCCTTCTAATTAGGATTCAGTGAATAATAAAAATTGATCTTGTAATTCATTTTAATATTTGATGTGTTATATTTCTTATACTTCCTGCTTTTTTCAAAGGTTTTGTGTCAATGAAATATTTGCTTCTCCTTTATAAGCTATTATCACTCCTCGCAAATATTGGTAGTGTAAAAACTAGGGCACAAAATAAACCGTCAGCACTTAATTCTAACCCCCCTTTGGTAGTACTTGGATTTGAACACAGGTCCTGGCACTTCGTAGGCAGATGCTCTACCAGTTGAGCCACCCCCCACCCCCATCAACACTTAAATAGTGATTGTCAGCATACTGCAGCATCACAACTTAGCAACGTTGAAAACCTTGATCAAAACAGGTTTTGGGGGGGGGTTGACCATGTTCAACTGAGAAAAAATTATTTTGTAAATCCAGGAGAAAATAAGGAGCTGATACCTGACACTTGGGGATCATTTATAAACAAAATTTTATTAATAATTTAAAATAATTTTTAAAAGCTTACCGATATTGTTGGAGTTTTGTATCTTGAGAGAGTTTTGGCCTCTTTAGCTTAAAGCATTTATTTAAGGTCAGAGGCATGGAACCACAGACCTGTTCGTTTTTAAACTGGGCAGTGGGCATCCAGGTGTGTTATACTTTTGTAGTTTCTTGTCTGAAGTATTTCATAACATTTTTCCATTTCAGAAAATAACAATGCAGCTGACAAATTTCAAAGTGAGATTAAATAATACGTGCACATTAAGTGTGATAAGTTTCAGTAGTTCCCATTATTAGCAAATCCGTGTTCCACAGCTTCCCTTCTTGAGATCAGCTGGGGTCTGACAATACTCAGTGGAAACTTCTGAAATAAGCAACTCATTCGCTCATTTTTTCTTTTGCTGTACTGTGGCTTGAACTCAAAGCCTTCACCTTGAGCCACTCTACCAGCCCAGTTATTTTTTGTGATGGGTTTTTGGAGATAGGATCTCACAAATTATTTGCCCAGTCTGGCTTCGAACGCCTGGTCTCTGCCTCCTGAATAGCTAGGATTATAGGCATGAGCCACCGGTGCCCGGCAGGATGGTCTTGCACCTTCCCCCTTTGTCCTGCCCTGGATGTGGATCGTCTGTCATTGTACTCACAGTGTGTGAATGCATTAGTCACTTAGAAGCCTTCTTGGCTATTAGATTGAAGGTGATTGGTGGTACCGCTGCTTGTATTCAATTGACCTTTATTTTACTTAATATTGGCCCCAAAGCATAAGAGTAGCGATGCTACCAATTCCAATATGACAAAAAGCTTTCAAAGAAACTGTAAACTAGCTGAGTGAACTGTAAACTAGCTGAGTGTGGTGGCTCAGGCCTGTAATCCTAGTTATTTGGGAGGCTATTGGAAGGATTGAGATTCAAGGCCAGCCTGGGCAAAAAGTTCAAGAGACCCCATCTCAACAGCCAGGGTGCAATGGCACCTGCATATCATTCAAAACTGTGGGAGGCTGAGATCAGAAGGATCAGGTTCTAGACCAGCCTGGGCAAAAAAAGCTGGGTGTGGTGGGGTGTATTCCTGTCATCCCAGCTGTGTAGGAAAGAATAAACCTAAGTATATCTCAGTCCAGACCAGCCTGGGCAAACAGCAAAACCTGTCTCAAAAATAACCAGAGCCAAAATAATAAAGTTCAGTGTAACCCATGGCTTTGGGCATCCCCTGAGACTCCTGGAATGTGTCCCCTGGGATAAGGGTGGTGGGGGTGGAGAGCTACTGTATGCAGAACAAGATCTAAAAATACACATTCCTCATGTGTTGTGAGAGGGTGGAAATGAAGAGCAAGTTACAGCTCTGCCAGGTGGATCCAACTGATGCAAGGTCTTCAGACAGCTGGGGAATGTGGTCTTGCAAGTTAGGAACCTGTGTGTGTTTTTAGTAGTCACCGCATGGTGGCAGTGTACTCAAGAAAATTCAAGAACTCTATACCCTTCTTCCCTTCCTCCCTCTCTCTAGCTCCCCCTCCCCTTTTTTGTGGTGCTAATGACCAAACCCAGGACCTTGTGATTGCTTGGCAAGCAGTCAGTCACTAAGCTACAGCCCCTATTTTTTACTTTAGAGCCTAGAATTTTCAATTTGGAAGAGGAAAATAAACCTTGGCCTGAGCACTGAGCTCAGCACTGAGCAGCTGGTGGAACGAGAGGGCCTCATTGGCAGTTGAATGTTTTCACAGCTGTCACAGATACTTGTGCTTGCTGTATCTGTATTTTTGAGAAACAAAGACATTTTTCAGAGTACTTTTTTTATTGTGGATATAAATCATCTGGGCTCTGTATTTGGGATGAATCTCATCCTAATGTTGAGAAGGATTAAGTGGCATGATTTTCTAGAGAATCTAGAAATTGGGGAACATTGCTGATTTCACTTACACAAGAAGGCTTTCTCTAAAAATTGATGAACACTTTCTTCCTAAGCCCTTAGGCTTACAATGGTGCCATTGTGCATCCTAGGAGCTGTCAGCTTTCATTCTTCTTATTGCTTCATCTTTGAGGGTAAAAACAGGGAGAAAGCGTTGGGGCTCCCTCTACTTATCCTTGAAGTGTTTTTTGGCCTCTACCTGGCACATAAGTACCTCTGCATACACCAGGCTGCCATCCCGCCACATATCACAACCTGTGTTTTTCTGATTCCCATGCTGGCTGCTAGCATTTCTGCAGTCACAAACCTGTTATGCCTGCATCCATACCTTTGCCTCACATTGAAATTGACACTCTTCCTGTGTTTAAGGGAAATTAGGGAAGACAACCCTGCCATTTGTCTTAGCAGGAACTATCACCTTTATTGAATCAGCGGTAACAGGTGGTCCAAACTACTCTGCATCCTCCCTCTGGGGTCACAGTGGTACAAAGAGCTCCTGGGCATGTGCCGGTGCCCTTGGGCATCTGACAGGGACAGGTTCTGTTCCTGTTTTCCTTTCGCTTCGAAAAGCTTCACTGGAAAATGCTGGAAGTATATATGTAAGAGAAAATTGTCCTGTTTAATGAGCACTTTAAGATTATAGCATTTAATTTGTTACCAGCCATGATAAAGGAGCTGGAGAAGGAAGAATACAAGCAAAGGAATGTGGCTACAAAGTAGAAAGGTGTGGTCTTTGAAAAGCATTGCTTATGTGTGCACAGTAATGCACCATTTCATGGTGGGATCCTTCCTGAGAAATGTGTCATTAGGTGATGTCATTGTGTGAACCTCATAAAGTGAGATGACCACAGCATTACGAGGCAGTAAAATCTTATGGGAGCGCTGTTGTGTATATGTGGCCTGTCATTGACTGAAGAGTCGTTATGCAGAATATGATTGTGTTTGTACCTGACATGGAGTTAGCACTCCCCCCACCCCCCCACCTCCATCAGATGTTTTACTGCGATTTCCAAAGTTGAGGGAGTGAGGGGTTTGGGCATCAGGGTGAGACTATATAACCCTAGAGGCCTCTCTGCTGCCTACTAAGATACAGGTAGCCTTACCTTACAGGCCTGAGATGACCTTCCAGCTGCCGGGCAGTTACTACAAGCAGTAGGAAGTGCCTTTAAAGGTTTAGAGTCGGGCACAACTCGTGTCCTTTGAGCAATGTAGCCTCGATTTTGGGTTCAGGTCCTGGCTGCTGTTTACCTGCTCTGAGCCTGTTTTCTCATGAGTGGGACAAGGATCATTAGCTCATGGGACTGTAGTGAGAATGAAAATAAATAATTGTGCGGATCAATTAGG